CATTGCTGTATGTTTGAAATTTTTTATAATTTAGAAAAATTCAATAACATTTTACGTACTTATTTTTATAGTTACCTTTTTAATTTTGGCAAGTGACACTACTGATATGACTTTTTCCATTTACAGTGATGATGTAAAGTTTCCTTTTAAAATTAATTTGTCTAGGGAATTCCCTGGTGGTCCAGTGGTTAGGACTTAGCGATTTCACAGCCAGGGCCCAGGTTCAATCGCTAGTCGGGGAACTAAGAGCCCGCAAGCTGCGTGGCGTGACCAAAAGAGAAAAAAAAAAGGGGTTAAGAAAGATGAAATAAAATTAATTTGTTTAAATAAAAAGGGGCTCAACTTAAGAAAGATAGCAAGTGAATATTAGTATAGATGGTGCATGGATACGGCAGAGCTCACGATGGCAATGAGCGAACAGGGTAAGTCTGGGACAAGTGGGGTGCTGGGAAGTACACAAGTTCTGGGGCAACCTTGATTTACACCCTGTTTTGCTGCTTGCCAGCCGTGTGGCCGACGGCAAGCCTCTCTGAGTTTCAGTTTCCTCATGTAGAAATGGGATAATGCGATCTCCTCTGAAAGGAGGCTTGTTGTGAGACGACCCAGGGAAAGCCTGGCTTGGGAGGCCACAGTAGAGGATGGACCCCAGCAGCCCTGGCTCCAGGACCCTCTGGTGCATCTATTTCCTGAAGCATGCTTGGCTTTGAGAGTTCGCTTCTTTTAGCATCTCAGGTCCTCCAGACGCCTGGGCAGAGAACCAAGAACTCTCTCCACTTTCCACAGTGAGAAAGACAGATCTTATTCTTTAAAACCCTTCTCCCCAGTCCGAGGGCATCCAGCCACCCGGAAAGAAGGGGACCAATCCTTCAAGCACACTGAACCACTGGAACTAGGGAAGGGGAAAAAAAATCTCAGGACAGCAGGAGACCCAAGAGGCCTCTGACCCCTGCAGACCCACAGCTCTTGCTGTTGGGAAGGTTTGCTTTGAGCTCTGCAATCAGATTGACACATCAATTTTTTTTTTTTTTTACTCATTTCTTAAATAATTGGGAATGCCTTATACATGCCAAGTGATGTGCCAGGTACTACGGATCTCAGGTGAACAAAAATAGATCTAGTCCTGTCCTCATGGAACTTGAAGTCCGATGGGGAGACAGGCATTGATCAGAGAGCGACGGATTTAAAATTGAGATGTTAGGGAGGTCTTCTCTGAGGAAGTGGCACCTGAGCAGAGATCTGAAAGAGGATAGGAGTGAAGAAGGAAAGGGAGGAAAGAGCTCTCTGGGCAGAGGGAACCGTGCAAAGGCCCTGTGGTGGGAGAGGTCGTGGAGAGGATGAGAGGCTGAAGGAGCCTAGGAGGAGCTGGAGCACAGAAACTGAGAGTGGGACCAAGATGACGTTTAAGATGTGGGCATCCCTTGGGCTTCCCTGGTGGCGCAGTGGTTGAGGGTCCGCCTGCGGATGCAGGGGACACGGGTTTGTGCCCCAGTCAGGGAGGATCCCACATGCCGCGGGGCGGCTGGGCCCGTGAGCCATGGCCGCTGAGCCTGCGCGTCCGGAGCCTGTGCTCCGCAACGGGAGAGGCCACGACAGTGAGAGGCCCGCGTACCGAAAAAAAAAAAAAAAAGTATTATAGTGAAAAGTTCACCTGCCCAGGGGACAGGATACTCACTCATGCTGGTCAGTCGGTGATTTTTGTTTTTTCTCTATAAGCAAATCTACACTGGAAGACCAATTACCATCTGTTATCAGTTACCAACAGCTATAGTACTGTTGGTGACTGTATGCAGCTATAATGCTGCATAACAAATCACCCCCAAACTTGGTGGTTTAAAATAAGAATTTACTTAGCTTAAGGGTCTTTGCGTTTGCAATTTGCACTGGGCTTGGCTGGGTAATTCTTCTGGTCTTGACTAGTCTCACTTACCTACCAGCTGACTTTGGCTAAGGGGAAAGGGATGACTTGGACACATGACTCTCATCCTCCGGAAAGCTAAGCTGGGCAGGCTTTCAGGTGGTGGCAGAAGAGGTACAAGAGCTCCAGCAAGCCCAGTTGTGCCAGTGCTTTTCAAGGCCCTGCTTACTTCATGATAACCTACATCCCGTTGGCCAAGCAAGGCCCTGGCTGACCCCAGGGTCAGAGGGGAGGGCCCTGCAAAATCACAGCAAAGGGAGTGGCTACAAGGGCTAAGAGTCTGCCAGACCCTCATAAAATTGATCGGTGAGAGTGAATTCAGAACAAGGGAAGCTATTTCTAGGATATAAAAAGTAGGTGTCTCAGAGCTCCACGGCCTGGTGTGGAGGTGCGCCTGTCACATAAGGCTGGATGTCCCACGGCCTGTGCCCAGTTGAGTCAGTGCCTGAGACACACGGACCAATCCTCACTTCTCTTCTGTTCGCTTACCCCTCCTTCAAAGGTCCTCCAGAGCACGGGCTGTATCTCATTCACCTCTGTCTCCTGGGCCTGGCACTAGGCCTAGCACATGGTGCTAGGGCTGACAACCTCTGCTTGTGAATCAGTGAAATAAAGAGTGAAATTATAGGGACTTCCCTGGCAGTCCGGTGGTTAAAAGTCCGTGCTTCCACTGCAGGGGACATGGGTTCGATCCCTGGTCAGGGAACTAAGATCCCGCACGCTTTATAGCGTGGCCAAAAAAAAAAAATCCTTCTCTGATCCCCAGCATCTAGTGAAGACCATTATAGCGTAACTTTCTAATTAGATTTCTGAGCATCACTCTTCCTGTTTGGACCAAGCCCACTGCTGTTTCTATTTGCGCAGGAAACACAGCATCTAGTATAACATCTACTAAAACCTTCTCACTCTGCATGACTCTGCTTAGGGGTGGGAGCAAAGAGAGACAGGGGAGCAGGGGAGAGCCTGTGCTCTTAGGGGCAACCAGCAGTGGCTTGTCAGCAAAAGTGCTGGAGCCAGTGGGCGCAATAGAGGTTGGACAACTCAGCTGGGGGCCCTGGAATGGGGTCCACATAGTCTTTCCGACCAGCCACATCCAGGTCTGAGACAGCCTGTGGCTTGGAAGGAAAAGACGGAGAGCGACAGCAAGACCCAGAAAGCTTCCATCCTCACCTCTGCTGCTCAAGGTAAGGATGAAAGCCTTGAAGCAGGGCAGAGATCGAGCCCTGCCCCTGGCCCCCCGAAAACCCAAAGGCAGTCTCTCTGAACTCCAGACCGTCACTTGGAGAGCTAGGTTGCACCTGTCCTGCTTGGAGGGCTCAGGTGTTCAGGCTGGGACTGCTGAGGCTGTGATATCATCTCTACAAGAGTCGGGGCCCGAGGGGGAGGGGGGAGCCTATAGGGAACCGAGAGGGGGTCTCCGCGAAGGACTCTGCACAGCAGTCCTCCATGGACCAAGGCAAGATGCAGGTGAGGAGTCAGGAGCAGAAGAGTAACGACGACAGTTCCGTGTTTCGAGGTAGCAGACGGGGCCTCGGTGCACAGGCCCTGGAGGCCCACTGCCTGGCTTCCAATTCCAGCTCCCACGCTTCCCGCCTGCGGCTTCCGGCAAGCAGCTTCATCTCACCGGGCCTCACGTTCCTCACCTGGCCCAGGGAATGATAGTTGTGCCTGTCTCATATCCCTGTTGTGAGGCCTGAGTGACGTCATTCGAGGAACGCTCTTAGCGGTGCCGGGCGTGCCTTCGGCCAACACCACCACTAGCCGTGATTACGAGTGTCGTTCAGGTGCCAGATGCTGTGCTGAGCACTTCACACAGGTGACTTATTTAGTCCTTACACCCACACGTGAGGTGGTTCTTTGACTTTCTACAGATGAGACACAGAAGCGTGGAGGGGTTAAACAACGTGACCAACCCAACTGACCAATGGGAGAGCCAGGACTCTACCTTAGGCCTGACCCCCAAGCAGCTGCCCTGAACTGATCTGCTCTATTTCTCCAACACGTGGCCCAGGGCATCACCAAATGTGAACATTTCACCACATACTAACTGAAATCCACTGCGAAACAGAATGTACATCTTAACATCACAATTTGCTTTTTTAACTCTACATGTGATGTGTAGTTACGTAAAATGCGTTCACATTGTCCTTTTAAAGAGAACGTTCTCCTCCTTGGCGGGAATATCTGGATTCAGGCGAGACCTGGGACCTAGCAAAAGACTACCTCTCAGGTTACGAGGAGGTAGATTTCTCCTCTGCACGTCTTCTCCTTGGACGCCTGATGGTATCTTGGATGGCTTCAACTTTTCCACCATCTGCCCTGAAATGTCCGACTGCTGACAGACATTTGTTTCTTAAAGGCAAAGGAGCGCTCCACTCCTTGCCTCAGGTCACCTGACTAGGGAAGAGCCTAACGCTGGTCCTCAATGCCAGAGGGTTCACTGGGAAACCGAACAAGGTGGCTTAACTGGGAGCTGATCAGCACCCTCAGCTTGTCAGCTGCAGGATGGCAAGTCCTCCATCCTCAGATACGACGGGCTGTACCAATAAGACGCTGTCAGCGCAGGTCTCCCAGCCCTGCTTGCCATTTAAGGCTGCGTGAACTTCCCCTTCATGGAAACTTCCTGTCTAGCCACGATAGCAGATGGATGGAAAGATAAAAGACTCTCTACTCCCCCAGTGGAATCTTTCCCTGGGGATGTTTAAAAATATGAACAAGGTTTGGGTCAGTGCCACCCTCACTGAGCAGATGACCTCCAGACGACGGCCAACACCAGTCAGAGGTGCCTCTGCGATGACCCCGACAGATATGCCCCATCTAAGGCTCAGGGTCGGGCAAAAGGGATTTGGCTTATGGATTCTGAAGACTTAAAATGATTAAGAGAGGAAACGATGGGGAGAGGACAGCTTTTACTGCCCCAGTTTGACGTCTGATGTGGGAGCTTGTGCGACAGGTCTCGTGAGACCACTTCAGATGGGACAGGGCAGGGCCAGACGCCTGGGTGCCCCACAGAGGCTCTGAATGAGGTCAGTGAGCAGTGATGTGTCACAGGGAGAGGAATAAGTCCGGCTTTGTTCATCACAGATCTTGTGGGGCTGCTGGCCCTTGCAATATGTTTATTAATTTTTTAAAAATGTCCTGTGGCTGGCCTAGTTTTACTTAATGCCTAATAAAGGGAAAAACTGTTTACATAGCACCCCTGGTCTGACAATGAGCAGCTGAAGTTAAGCAAGAGCCTTCACTTTCAGAGATGACACAAGACAGCAGCCTGGGAAGAAAACATCTCCTTTAGAAGCATGCCATTCCCAGGTCACAGTGGCAGCAGCTGAACGTTATGTTAAAAAAGACAAAATCAGGGTTAGGAGAGATCAAACCCCAGGGGATAAAGCCCAGGCCGCATACTTGGCTGCTGGGATTTGTTGCACAAGAGTCCAGGATAGATGCGTAAGTCACTGCCCAACGCATGTGCACTTCTGACAGTCCAGACATATCTCTACATAAACTCTGTTTAACATTCTCCACACAGTACATCAAGTGAGGCCCGAGAGATTGGCCAGAGCCTATGCTGAGCTCCCAGGGTGATCGATGTCTGCTTCTGCCCGCCATTTCTCACTCCCATTCCTTGCTTAGGTGACAGTGCTACAGATTTTTCCATCGAAGTCCTTGACACCAGGGTCTGTTTTCTCTCCAGTCTTTACTGGCTGGTAAGACATCCCATGGTTCCTTAACAGGTCTGGCTTTTCTACCTGCAGGACTCTGCCTTGCATGAAGCTCTGGTGACCTCGCTGACATGGCAGGCCATTTGTGTTAGGAGACAGCTCCTAAATCTCAGGCTAAGGCCATGACCTAACGCTGACACCTAATATCTACCGAGCGCTTACTGTGTGCTGGGGACCACGGAAGAGCTCCGTGTGCTTTATCTCTTCACGTCTGATCTTCACAAATAGACAGGGAGCAACATCATCCCCATTTTATAGATGAGGAAATCGAGGCTCAAGCCAATTCATTTATCCAGACAGTAAGCAGCAGAGTCAGGATCTAACTTGTAACCAGTTCCTACCCTCACTTTATGAGAGCTACCGTGGGTGACCAAGTGCTTACTTTGGGAGGCACCTGGCAGCTTCCTGTTCCCTATGTCAGTGGTCCCCAACCTTTATGGCACCAGGGACCAGTTTCATGGAAGACAATTTTTCCACAGATGGTGGGGGGGGGGCATGGTTCAGGCGGTAGTGCGAGCGATGGGCAGCGGCAGGTGAAGCTTTGCTCACTCGCCCGCCGCTCACCTGCTGCTGTGCGGTCCAGTCCCTAACAGGCCGTGGACCAGTACCAGTCCATGGCCCAGGGGTTGGGGACCCCTGCCCTATGTGACACACAAGTCATGGCTCAGAACCGTCAAGTTTCTTTGCTATAACTTCTCAAAGCATAGATTTCTACACAGTTTCCACCAGTAAGGTAGCATGTTCTGGCAGAAAGTTCATGAGCTTCGGAGACAGACTGAACTAAGCAAGATTCTGGCTTTCTGACTGAGTAGTGACTTAATCTTGGACAAATCACTCTCCCTGAGCCCACTTTCTCATCTACAAAATAGGTGTGACACCACTTGCCTGCAGGAGAGCTGTGAAGCTCTACTGAGATTGTGTAAGTAAATAAAGGCTGGTTCTCTCCTCTTCTCTCCTCAGCCAGGGACACTGAGGGGCAGGCAGGACCATGAGGACGCTCCGTGGTGACCCCGAAGCTCAATGATGCTGGAAACGTGTGCTTCCTGCCTGCGCGCAGCTCTTGTGCTCACCAACCGCCTGCCTAGCGATTCAGGCCTGCCTTCCTCCGATCGCACCTTTGATGGTCCTGGCCCAGTCTGGGTGATGGCCGTTCTGATTGGATTACAGCTCCTAGGGGAAAATTCCTCCAGTGAGACTACCCTCCTGGCAATGTCGAAATCTTCTAGTCCTAGAGCTAAACACTTTCAGCTAATTCATCCTAACATATTATTTCTTATGCATTGTTTGTCAACTAAAACGATCGTGGAGACTGTAGAAATATAGAAAATGTTTGCTATAGGGCTGCACGAAGCTAAAACCTACGATTGTGACCTTGTAAAGCTCTATAAACATATGCCTGTGGATTACATGAGAAGAGACAAAATTAAAATAATTGTGTGAGGGCTGGGGAGTTGTGATTTTCCTTTTTAAAATACTCTTTAATATTCAATTACCGTTCAATTTACAAAGTGAGCATTTTAGAGAAAATGTGATGAGGATGCTGCCTCTTAAGGAGCGTGCCCACACCATTCCTGCCCACTGCCCTCATTCTGCCTGCTGGGCCTCTGAAGGATTCTGCTCAGGGGGCTTGGATCAGCTTTCCTTGGCAGAAAGAACCATCCCAGGTTGGAAGGGGGAATTTCACTGGAACAAAGCCCTGGGTCACCCGGGGAGCTTTCCACACAGCACGAAGAGCTGGCTGCCCCTCTGCACTGAGCTCACTTCTGGCTGAAGCAACGAGCTGGCACAATCGCTTCCCCTACAGTGCCCTCCTGTGGAGCCAGAGAAAAGTTGGGCCCGAACACCGGTAACTTAGACAAACCGCTTTGAGGCTTGGAACGGAAACACAAGGTCTTAGAATGAGATACACCGAACATTTACATGTCCTCAGGAGAGAGGCGGGTCCATCACTGGAGGCAGGACCAATGGTCTGGGTGGGCTGAGCGTCTAAGGAGAAGCAGGACATCAAGGCCAATACCCATCAAAAGCAGTGAGCATCCGCAGACCGAGGCCGGGCAAGCAGTGGCGCTCAGCTCAATGTGGCTGTTCAAAGAGGTATTCGAGATCTGGGGCCCGCGGTCGCTGCTCTCTGTTTTTGTTCTTAGCAAAGTCTCTCAGCAGGGCCATGACTTCGTTTTCAAATATTTCTGGGGCTGGCTTTGCCTCTGCAAGAGAAGGATGGGCAAAAAGAATTACGTTGGTCAGTCAGTTGCCAGGTATAAGGATCTTGAAACTTGAAACTCTGGCCTTGGCCAAAACCCACAGTGGATACACAGAGCAGCTCCATTCTTCCTCTGAATGTACACGGCAGCCTGTACCGCGGGTTGGCAACCTATAGCAGCCAGTATTTGTAAAGAGCTTTACTGGGATAGCTGCTCTCACTTGTTTACATACTGTCCGTGGCTGCTTCTGTGCTACGATGGCAGAGCTGAGTAGTTGCCACAGAGACCATAAGACTGCAAGACGATGACGTTTACCACCTGGTCTTCCATGAGCAATTCTGCTGACTCCTGGCCTGTCCAATCTTGGCCGTACTGTTTTGCTCTGTATTTGGTGCTTCAGTTGTTTTCTGAGTACTGTGTTTCCCCTTCTAGCCTATATACTTCCTGAGGCAAAAATCACTGGATGTAAGTGACAACGACTGATAACTCTAGTAAACTTAAGTATGAAAGCATTTACTGGAAAGCTAATAGAGGCTCCCCAAATTAACATGAACCTGGAGAACCAGATTTGCACGGAGAGGCAACAAAGGCACCGAGAGTGGAGAGATGAGAATGCCAGCCTCAGGCCAGCGGAAGAGAGTCTGGCAGGATGCTGCTCACCTCTGGATCTTTCTTTCCAACGGTGAGATGCTCACTTAAGGTTCAAATTACAAGCAAAGCCTCCCACTGGGAAACCTTAGGTAATATGCTTTGGAATTACCCTCCTAGCAAGACTAAGTACAATGCTAGGAGAGGGAATTCCCCCAAAGCTTGATTTTTCCCCTCACTTGGCACAGAGCCTGGCATCTGTTTTTTTGTGTGTGACGACCAGAATAAGATCAAGGAGGTTTAGGCGCCCCCCAGGATGCTGAAAGTTGGAACGAACATTATACTCATCGCAACAAGAAAAAGTCAGATCAAGTAGAACCATCACAGCTTCCTGAAGTCATCAGAGAGCTGAGGTCACAGGGCGCCCAAGAGAGTAAGATCTAAGCGAAGAGAGACCCCTCAAAGGAGAAGGTGGGTATGAACACGTGCTCACCTGAGAGAGGGCACAGGAAGACGAGGCACTGGGCACATACAAACAGGTAAGAAGAATTTAGCTAAAGCTGTACATCAGCTGCTGAGAGCCAGGCAGGCTAGCGCGAGGGGTACACAAACCTCCGGGAGCCACGGGCACGAGGGGAGCTTGCCCCAGTGTGCAGGCTCTTCTCAACAACCCCCCACTGAGCATGCGCATGACAAAGACCGTGTCCAGAGCAGGAAGCTGGAGAAAGCCTCCCTCAGTGATACGGGCCAGGAGGAGGGGAGCGGCCAATGCTGCCCGCCCACCCACAAAAGCATAACGCCCAGCCTGGCCCTTCCTTCTCCGAAGAACAAAAGCCTCCAGGGGCTGGGAGTGGATCAGCGAATCCTGTCTCCTACAGGGCACGTGTGAGGACACATTTGGGCTGGTGGAAGGGTAAAAGAAAAAAAATCCTCTACCCTGATGGGACCAGCAGGATCACTGAGAAAGCTCACCCCCAAGACCCATGGCCACAGGGAACAATGGACCAGGATAATAGAGAATACCCTCCCTTCCCCAAAGCAACAAGAACCAAGTGGAAATCAATAGGTATCTACAGCTGGGAGAGGGCAAGAGCGGCATGGAGAGAGATTTCCTTGAAGCACAGAAATACAGGAGGATGCACATGGTAACAATAGAGGCTGGTGGTGAACTGAAGGGAACCAAAGCAATCACAAAATCCAAAGTAAGCTTAACTCCTAACTAGACTGACTCGATTCCCATTCCGACTGCCCCACGGAAGGATCATGCCCATTTCTAAGCATAAAGACCATTTCCCTCAGTTTTTACTGTCTCACTCATGAGGTCTAACATTTAATCAAATGTGTCTAACACACACACAAAAGAAAAGTGAAAAACAACACACTGTGAAAGGACAAAGCAATCAACAGAAACAGACTCAGGGATGACGTGGATGTTAGAACTATTAGACAGGGGATTTAAATAAAGCAACTATGACTATTATGTTAAAGGTGCTAGTGGAAAAAGTAGGAAAAATGCATGAACTGATAAGGAGCTCCAGCAGAGGTGGAAACTGTGAAAGTCAAATGGAAATGTTAAAAATAAAAATAGAAATATAGTAGCCCATAAGCAGAATGGACTCATCATAATATTTAATGGTCAAGGAAAGAATTAGTGAAGTGGAAGAAAGGTCAATAAATATTATCCAGTACAAATCACTCAAACTAACACATGAAAAGAAAAATAAGAGTAAAAGACACAAAACACAGAATCCAAAAGCTGTGGGACAATATCAGTCTAAACCAAGTATAACTGGAATCCCAGAAGGAAAAGAGGAAGAAAATGAGGCAGAAGAAACATATGAAGAGATAATGGATGAAAAATTTCCAACAATAACATAAGGTAGGAAACACAGATCCAAAGCCAGCTCAATTCCTAACCAGACTGACTCGATCCTGCGTACTAACAGCCTCACAAAAGAAGAGTGCCCATGTAAAGTGCTGAAAGAAATAATTGTGGGGACTTCCCTGGTGGCACAGTGGTTAAGACTCCGAGCTCCCAATGCAGGGGGCTTGGGTTCAATCCCTGGTCAGGGAACTAGATCCCACATGCATGCCACAACTAAGAGTTCGCACGCCACAACAAAGGAGCCGGTGAGCCGCAACTAAGGAGCCCACCTGCCACAAGTGAGACCCAGCACAGCCAAGTAAATAAAATAAATAATTTTTTTAAATAAAAGAAATAATTGCGAACCCGTAATTCTATATCCACTGAAAATACCTTTTGCAAACGACAAACAAAAGCTGAGAGAATTCATAATAGCCAACCTACACTACAAGAAATATTAAATGAAGTTCTTCAAGCAGAAGGAATACGATACCAGAGAAACATGGATCTACATAAAGAAATGAAGATCTCCAGAGATGATTAAAATGAAGGTAAATATAATGTACCTTATACATAATATGTGTTATATGTTACATACATATTTATATATAATGTGTTATAATTTACATATTTATAAAATACAAAATACAATGTATTTTCTCCCTTATTTTAAATTGCTCTAAAGATAACTGTCTAAAGTAAAACAACAGAAATGTAGTGTAGACGTACAACGTAAGTAAAAGTAAAAAGTGTGACAACAAAAGCACAAAACATGGGAGAGAGAAATTGCAGTGTACTACTGAAAGTTCTTACATTATACATGAGGCAGTATACTATTCTTTGTTTTTTTTTAGTATACTATTCTTGAAGGTAGACTATGATTAATTAAAGATGTATACTGTAAATCCTAGGGCAATCACTAAAAAAAATTATAGAGAGATATAAATGATAAACCAATAGTGGAGGGTCTTCCCTGGCGGTCCAGTGGTTAAGATTCCATGCTCCCAATGCAGGGGGCACGGGTCTGATCCCCCCACATGCCACACAGTGCGGCCAAAAAAAAAGGAAAAGAAAAAAAAAAATAGCAGAGATAAAATGAAATTTTAAATACCCAAAAAAAAAAATAATCCATGGTAACAGAGGGGGAAGAGAACAAAGAACAGACAGCAGAAATAGGAAACAAAAAAAAAAAGATGGTAGATTTTAGTTCAACCACACTGGTAATTAATTATGTGTAAATGGCCAAAACACACCAATGAAAAGATAAAGACTATAAGATTGGATAAAAAAGAATGATTATATATGCTATCTATAAGAAGCTCAACTTAAAGACAAAGATAAATTAAGAGAATGGTGTGGTAAGCAGCCTTCTAGGCTGGCCCTCAGTATCTCCCACTCCCCTGTGTACAAGCCCTGTATAATCCCCAGGACTGTGAATATGATGGTCTTCACACCCATGACTGGGTTATGTTATATGGCACAGTCAGGACAGGAAAATTATCCAGGGGGTTCTGACCTAATCACGTGAGCTCTTTAAAAGCAGAATCTTCCCCAGCTGGTGGCAGAAGGGGATGTCAGAGAGATTTGAAGCATGAGAGGGATTCCACGTGAGGGAGGATCTCCAATGCTGAGACAGAGAGGCCATGTGGCAGGAACCTGAGAGCAGCTTCTAGAAGTTGAAAGACATTAATAGCAAGCAAGACAACCAGGATCTCAGTCCTACGCCTTAGGGAATGAATGCTCCCTGAAACCTGAATGAGCTTCCGGGCAGGAATGTAGAAGAGATGACGTTGATTTCAGGCTGTGAGATCTCGGCACAGCTTCTGACCTACAGGACTGTGCGCTAATAAATGGTTGTTGCTTAAAGTCACTAAAGTTTGTGGTAACAATAGAAAACTAATATAAATGGAAAAATAATACCATGCAAACACTAATCAAGAGAAAGATGGAGTGTCTACTATCAGACACTTTGGAACTACCAGCAATAAAGACAGACATTATATAATGATAAAGGACTCAATTCATCAAGAAAATCGAACAATCCTAAATATGCCTTCACATAATCACAGAGCTATAAAATATATGAAGCAAAAACTGTGAGAACTGAAAGGAGTAATAGACAAATCCACAATTATAGTTGGGGATTTCAACACTCCTTATTAATTGATAGAGTACAGACAAAATCAACCAGAATATACAAGACATGAAGAACGGGATCAGCCAACTTGACCTTGTTGACATTTACAGAAAACTTCATCAGCAAGTGCAGAACAACATGTTGTGTTCAAATAAATGCACATGGAACATTTATTAAGATATACACATTTCAGGCTTCCCAGGTGGCGCAGTGGCTGAGAATCCACCTGCCAGTGCAGGGGACACAGGTTCGAGCCCTGGTCCGGGAAGATCCCACATGCTGTGGAGCAACTAAGCCCGTGCGTCACAACTACTGAGCCTGTGTTCTAGAGCCTGCGATACACAACTACTGGAGCCCACATGCCACAACTACTGAAGCCCGCGCGCCTAGACCCTGTGCTCCGCAACAAGAGAAGCCACGGCAATGAGAAGCCCGCGCACCGCATTGAAGTGTAGCCCCCGCTCGTCACAACTAGAGAAAGCCTGTGCGTAGCAACGAGGACCCAACACAGCCAAAGATAAATAAATATATTTAAAAAAAAAAAAGATATACACATTTCAGGCCATAAAACAAATTTCAAGAAATTTAAAAGAACTGAAATTATATAGCATACATTCTGTGGCAACAACGGAATCAATAACAGAAAAATACCTGGAAAATCTGGAAATATTTGAAAATTAAACATACTTTTAAATAACTCACAGGTCAAAGAGGAAGTCACAAGGGAAATTAGAAACTATTTTGAGTTGAATGAAAATGAAAACACAACACACCCAAATTTGTATCATAAGGCTAAAGCAGGGCTTGGAAATTTATAGCATCAAATGCTGGTAGTGAAACAGAAAACAAAAAACCCAATCAAAAAAAAAGGCAGGAGGAAGATTTAGGGACACAACACCAAAGAGGTATGAATGGCAAATGACTTGAAAAGACCCTTGGGACTTCCCTGTTGGTCCAGTGGGTAAGACTCCACGCTCCCAGTGCAAGGGGCCCAGGTTTGATCCCTGGTCAGGGAACTAGATCCCACATACCACAACTAAAAGATTCCGCGTGCCGCATCGAAGATCCGGCATGCAGCAACTAAGACCTGGTACAGCCGAATAAACAAATAAATATTAAAAGAAAAGAAAAGAGAAGACCCCCAATATCCTTAGTCATTGGGGTTGTGCCAACTAAAACTACAGCGACACATCACTACACGCCTCTTAGAATGGCTAAAAACAAAAACAAATTAAACCCTGACAATACCAAGTGTTGGTAAAGATGTGGAACATCTCCTTCTCCCCTCTCACTCCGTCCTGGGCAATCACTGGTCTGTTTTCTGCTATGTGGTTTTGCCTTCTCCAGAATACAATATAAATGGAAATCATACAGTGTAGAGTCTTTGAGTCTGGCCTCTTGGCATAGGAGTTGACAAACAATGACATACTGCCCATTTCTGTATGGCCTGTGAGCTAAGAATGATTTTTTTTTTTTTTTTTTTTTGCGGTACGCGGGCCTCTCACTGTCGTGGCCTCTCCCGCTGCGGAGCCCAGGCTCCGGACGCGCAGGCTCAGCGGCCACGGCTCACGGGCCCAGCCGCTCCGCGGCATGTGGGATCTTCCTGGACTGGGGCACGAACCCGTGTCCCCCACATCGGCAGGCGGACTCTTAACCACTGGGCCACCAGGGAAGCCCTAAGAATGATTTTTAACTGGTTGAGGGAAAAGACTCAAAAGAATATTTCATGACACATGAAAATTATACGAAATTCAAATTTTAATGTCCATCAATAAGTTTGCTATAATGTTAAACATACATTTACCATATGACCCCGAAACCCTTTTCCTGGGCATTTACCCAAGAGAAACTAAAACCTACATTCACAAAAACCTGTATGCAAAGATTTACAGTTTAGGCTTTATTCATAGTTGCCTAAAACCGGACATATCCTAATGTCCTTCAACTGGTCAGCAGATAAACTGTGGTACATCCACACGTTGCAATTCCACTCAATACAAAAGAATGAACTATTGGGACTTCCCTGGTGGTGCAGTGGTTAAGAATCCGCCTGCCAATGCAGGGAACACAAGTTCGATCCCTGGTCCGGGAAGATCCCACATGCCACAGAGCAACTAAGCCCGTGCGCCACAACTACTGAGCCTGCGCTCCAGAGTCTACATGCCGCAATTACTGAGCCTGCGAGCCACAACTACTAAAGCCCACGTGCCTGGAGCCCGTGCTCCACGACAGAAGAAGCCACTGCAGTAAGAAGCCCATGCACCGCAACAAAGAGTAGCCCCCGCTCGCCACAACTAGAGAAACCCTGAGCGCAGCAATGAAGACCCAACGCAGCCAAAAAAAAGAATGAACTACTGATACAACAGCATGGATGAATGTCAAATGCACTATGCTAAGTCAGGGACAAATATTTTCTATAAAGGGCCAGATAGTAAATATTTTACACTCTGTGGGCTTTCTAATGGTTATATAAGGCTCTAGACCCTGTATTGTCACACTTCACACTTGGAACCTATAGAATAGCTTCTATTTTAAGGTAGAAATAGTGAGTGGAAACACAAAAACAGGAGATGCAGAGTGACAGAAATGGATGAGATGTCTCCTAATATCTATTCTCCCATTTTTCCTTGATAATAGGATCCCCAATTTAGCTGGGCACATGGAATAGGCTACATTATTTCTTCCTTATGGCGAGGTGTAGCCATATGACTAAAGTGTGGCAGGTGGAAAATAAGTGGAATTATGGTGTATAATTTCTTGAGAAGGATCCATAAAAAATGGGGTGCACTCTCCTACTCTTTTTCCCTGGCTGAAATATGGACATGACAGATAGAGCCTCAGCAGCCATGTTGGGTCATGAGGTAGCCCTACACAGGCGGAGGGTGAAGGAAAAGCAAGTCAAGAGGAATCTGGCCTTCGTGACTCTGAAACCCCTCTGTGCATTCTGGAGATCTACCTCTGAACTTCTGTTATGAGAAAGACAAACACAGTTCTGTCTTCTTTAAGCCATTATTGTTTGGGGTATTTTTACTCACAGCCAAAGCTAATCCTAACTATACACAATGAGAATTCATTCCTCACAAAGGTGGTGCCAGAGTGAGGCTCCTGAAGACCTCGTGCTATGCAGCCTGAGCTGTCTCATTCCACTCCATTCCGGGCCTGGTTTTCTTCAACCTTCCCTTTGATAATTTTTGTATGGAGCTTCCCAGACAATTCCACTAAATTCCCTTTTTTGCTTAAGTTAGATAGAATAGGTTTCTTTTGCTTGCAAACAAAGAACCTTACCTCATAAAACAAATGTTGCACGCTTTGGAAAAATCTGAAGAGTGTTTGGGTTGAGTGTCTGCTACATGATAAAAGAAAAAAAAGAAAAAAATGCCCGGGATACCATTCCAGACTCAAATCAGCCCAAGTCAGCCTATCTTTCACCTTCTGTTGCTTATCATGCCCCATACCTGTAGCCCAGTAGTAAATATCCCAGTCATTACTGGGTTCATTAATCAGGCGATCGTAGAGGTTCAGTTGTTTCTCTGTCATGTGGTGCAGATGTGCCTTGGCGAAGAGGCTAGAAACAAGAAAGAAAAAGAAGTTGAAAAGCCTGTCTCCGGTCAAAGAGAAGTGCCGTCCCGACTCCTATCCCCTTACCTAAGAAGGATGCAGTTTTCCAGCGTCCCCCTCTTCCTGCTCTCATAGAGCAGCCGGGCCCTTTTGGTTTCTATGGATTCATCAGTTCGCTCCTGCCACGGAGGCAAAGGGATTTCAATCATGTCCTTCTGGGAATCTGTCGGGCTGTCACCTCTGTAGCAGCGTCTGAATGATGTCACTCTGAGTGAAGGAGACACTAGGTGGCGTCTTGACAGAGCAAGCACCTGAAACAAATAAGCCACAAATATCACAGTTTTTTTTTTTCTTTGGCCTCGACATGCGGGAGCTTAGTTCCCCGACCAGGGATCGAACCTGCGCCCCCTGCAGTGGAAGTGCGGAATCTTAACCACCGGACCACCAGGGAAGTCCCCACGAACATCTTTTTAACAAGGACGACCATCCTTGTCATTCACTCAACACACTTACTAGGAGCAAAATGCATTTGATCTCCTTCAGTCCTTAAGAAGTTATGCTGATTTTATAATAACTATAAATGGAGTTTAATCTTTAAAAATTGTGAACTACTACGTTGTACCCCTGAAACTTATAAAATACTGTAAATCAACTATACCTCAATAAAAAAAAAAAAGAAGTTATGCTGATACTGTCCCCACTTTACAGCTTAGGAAGCTGAGGCTCAGAGAGGCTGAATGACTTACCAAGTTCACCCAAACAGTAACTACTGTGAAGACTGGAACCACCCCTGACTGCAAACATGTTCTTAACCAGTGTCTTTCCAGAACCTCTCCAGCAGAAATATTTTCTCTTTCCTTTGCATTCCCTTAAAATTCTTACAATATGGTTTGCATTCTAATCACCTGCCTGTGTTAAAATCTGAGCATACGGTGATGGTATGGCCCCTAATTCCCCAAAGTTTCCCAATCTAGAGAAGGGCAAAAACTAGCAAGATGCAACGAGGGCTTCCCCGGTGGCGCAGTGGTTGAGAATCTGCCTGCCAATGCAGGGGACACGGGTTCGAGCACTGGTCTGGGAGGATCCCACATGCCGCGGAGCAACTGGGCCCGTGAGCCACAAGTACTGAGCCTGCACGTCTGGGGCTTGTGCTCCACAATAAGAGAGGCTGCGATAGTGAGGCCCACGCACCGCGATGAAGAGTGGCCCCCACTTGCCACAACTAGAGAAAGCCCTCGCACAGAAACGAAGACCCAACACAGCCAAATAAATAAATAAAATAAAAAAATAAATTTATAAAAACAAAAATGTATAAAAAAGATGCAATGAGAAGGTGGTGACGTCAGCAAGATGGTGGAACAGGAAGTCCCACACTCTCCTTCTCCCACGGAGACACAAACTACCCAACAATACACCGACCAATTCCCTTTATGAGAAATCCAGAAACCAGCTAAGAGGCTCCTGAACCTCAGGTGAGCACAAAACCAGCTGCACTACAGCTGGAAGAAAAATTCATGGTACTCATTCAACATAGTCCCTCCCCTTGGCTTAGCCCAGTGCAACTGGAGAAAATTCTCAGCTCCTGGCTTCTCCCTGGGAGGGAAAGAAAAGACTGAAACATACACCCAACATGCAGCCTTTCAGGGGGATGCCCGATTGACTAGCTTCTGTCTTGTCTGAATCTAAGTGTGACGGAAAAGATGCCAGGTTGGGGGCTGCTGAGAAATAGGTGAGGGTTTGGACTAGCATACACTCACTCGCCAACATACCTACCTGTGGCTTAGCACAAAACAAGCAGAAGAAAACCCCCAATTCCTGACTTCTACCTGGGGAGGGAGAGGTAGAATGTGTGTCCTACATTCCAGCTTTTCGGGGAGCTTCCTGAGAGAATGGCTTCTGTCTTGCCTGTCTCAGAGCACTGACAGGACCCAGCATACTCTAGATATTTGGGGGCTTCTGAAAACCAAAGAGAGTTGGGTGGCTTGCTGCTGCTTCTGAGGACCTATGGTACAGCCGACAGAGGCCAATGGAAAGAAAGGAGGAGCATGCATCCAAAACTCCTGCTTTTCAAGGAGCTGCACAAGGGACTGGTTTCCGTCTTGGCCAACCTGCAGCGCTCATGGGACCTGGGATACTCTGAAGCCTGGGGGCTGCTGAGAAGAGCTGGGAGGCTTGCGGCAGCTCCAGAGAACCTGTAGTACCATAAAGAGACACCAGAGGGAGCAAGAGATTATGAGCTCGTGAAAAAAGAAGCCAGCAAATCCCTCTAGTTGGGAATCTACGTGCACGAGTCTAGAGAAGACATTTCTACAGAAAAGGTTTGATAGGCCCCCAGATTCTCTAGCTGGACCGATTGGCAAAGGTCTTTCCTTGTACAAAGTCAGTCCAAAAAGACTAGGAGAGGTGGTTGTTTTTTCAAATGCATGGATCTAAGCACAAAGTTGCAAGGTGCATGAAGAAATGGCAAAACAAGGCCTAATCAAAGAAATAAAACAAACTTCCAGAAACCAACCCTGGAAACAGAGGTATACGAATTACCTGACAAATAACTCAAAATAAATGACATCAAGATATTCAATGAACTGAGGAAAACAATGCAAGAACAAAATGAGAATATCAATGAAGAGAAATATTAAAAAAAAAAACAAAAACAAAATTTTGGAAATGAAGAATACAATGACCAAATTGAAAAATTCACTACAGGGGTTAAATAGCATACTTGATCAAGCAGAAGAATCAGTGAACTCAAAGACAGTTTATTTGAAACTACCCAATCAGAGGAAGAAAAAGAATGAAAAAGAGTGAAGTATGCTTAAGGGACTTATAGGACATCATCAAGCAGACCAATATAAATATTATGGGAATCCCACAAGGAGAAAAAAGAGAGAAAGGGGCAGAAAGCTTATTTGAAGGAATAATGGTCAAAAACTTCCCCAATTTGGGGAAAGAAATGGACATCCAAATTGAAGAAACCCAAAGGAGACAAAGGACACTAGACAGTAACACAAAAGCATTTGAAAGCATAAAGCTCACTGGTAAATGTATATATAGGACAAACACAGGATACTGTAACACTGTAATGATGGTGGGTAAATCAGGTTTAATTCTGGCTTGGAAGTTAAAAGACAAAGACAAAAAACTATAAAATACGCTAATGGATACACAACAAAAATATGTAGTGTGACATCAATAACATAAGGTGGGAGGAGTAAAAGAGCAGCTTTTGTATGAGATTGAAATTATTATCAGTTTAAAATAGATGATAAAATGTTTTATGTAAGCCCCACAATAACCACAAAGAAAACACCTATACACAATAGAAAATGAGAAAGGAACTGAAGCATGTCTCTATAGAAGAAAATCAATGAAACACAAGGGATGACAGCAAAAGAGTAAAAAGGGACACAAAAGCTACAAGACAGAGAGAAAACAATGAACAAAATGGCAATAGTAAGTCCTTCCCTATCAGTAATTATTTTAAATGTAAGTGGATTAAACTCACCAATCAAAACACATACAGTGGCTGAATAGATTTTAAAAAACCCACAAGATCCAACTATATGCCTTACAAAAACTCATTTTAGATGTAAGGGAACATGTAGGCTGAAAGTGAAAGTCTGAAATATATTTCATGCAAAAGGTAACCAAAAGAGAGCAGAGATGGCCCTACTTATATCAGACAAAATAAACTTTAAGTCAAAACTGTCAAAAGAGATTTTAAAAGGACGTAATATAATGATAAAAGGGTCAATTCACGACGAGGATACAACAATTACACATGCAACCAATATCAGAGCATCCAAATACATGAAGCAAATATTGACAGAGCTGAAGGGAGAAATAGTACCACAATAATATTTGGAGATTTCAAAAGCCATTTTCAATAATACATCGAACATCCAGACAGAAGATCAATAAGGAAGTAGAGGACATGAACAACGCTGTAAGCCAAAAGGGCCAAACATACATATACAGAACATTCCACTAAACAGCAGCAAAATACACATTCTTCTCAAGCACACCGAGGACATTCTCCAGGATAGACAGCATGTTAGGTTTCGAAACAAGTCTTAACAAAAAAGATTGAAATCATACAAAGCATCTTTTCTGACCACAACAGAATGAAACTAGAAATCAACAGCAGAAGGAAAACTGGAAAATTCACAAATAAGTGAAAATTAAACAACACACTCTCACTCTTGAACCACCACTGGGTAAAAAGAGAAATCAAAAGGGAATGAGAAAATATCTGGAGACAAAAACACATCACAAAGCTATGAGACTGAGCAAAAGCAGTTCTAAGAGAGAAGTTTACAGTGTTAACAGTCTATATTCAAAAAGAAAAACGATCTTATGAAACTATGTGAAACCATGACAGATACTAAAGACTTAAAAAGAACAGAGAGGCTTAAAAAAAGAGAGAAGGGGCGCCCAGAGGCTGTCGGGCCAGCTCCACCTAGGAAATAGGTGAAATCTGAATTGGGTCTCCCACGAAGACTGACGGTTCAACGATATTACGAGACAGACACACAGTGGGCTCAGGCAAGGGTGGACGTAACCTGAATCTCCCTACGTTGCAAGATCGACCTCTCCTTGGGTCTGCCCTTGCCCTGGGCTATCAGGCAGTTGGACGCTTCTCTCGGCCTCCACTTCAGAGGAAGACGAGATACAGTTCTCACTGCGGCCTGCCTAGGACCCTATAACCCCCACTCTCCTCACCCGCGGAAGGGCCGGGAACACAGCAGCCACCACCATTTTACCCGACCCGCATCAGAAGCCAGAGGCCCGGCCACTTCCGGGAACTTCCGGGCACCAGTCCCGCAGACAGCGGCTCTGAGGACCTGAGCCGGAAGATACGTCCTCGCGTATGGCGGAAGTGGCTGTGCGTGTGACGCCGGCGGCGGGGGACCTGGGGCAGAGAGCGGTTCGCGCGCTTCGGGCCTAGTCCGGACTCGCCGCCGCCGCCGCCATATTCCCGGTAACGGGGGCGCGCGGCCAGGGGCCGGCTGGGCCGGAAGAGGGCTCGGGGACGGCGCTGAGGCGGGGAGGGGATCGGTTGAGTTTGGGGTACCCGGAGTTGGCGGGCGGCGGGAGGCGCGGGCCTTTGAGGGAGGGGGCCGAGGGCGTCGGGCCGGGTCTGTGGGGAGGGAGCGCGGCGGGCCTAGCTGTAGGCGAGGACTAGGCCTGGGTGGGGAGCGGAGGTGGTTGGAGATCCGAGACCCGCAGGGACTCTAGCCGGGGCCGCTTGGGGCCTCGGCAGGTGCGGCGGGCTGTAGCTGCGGGCTTCGCCGCGATCGTTCTTCGCAGCGCCATCCGAGGGCCCCTAGGAGCAGAGGCCTGCACTTCCTCGTCGCGCCCCAGGCAGCTGCGGCGCAGCTCCGGTCGGGCCCGAGGGTGATGGGCAGCGAGCCCCGCGAGCCCCGGTGGCCTGGGAGAGCGAGGGGCGGCGCGAGGCCGGGGGCGGGGCGGAGCGGGTGGGGCAGAGCTCGGGCTGCCTGCCAGGATGCTGCGTCTCTGGAGACGGGAGGTTGGCAACCAATGCCCTCTTCCCACCCTGGGACCCTTATGCCTCTAACTCTGTTTCTTTCTGGATACTGCAGTGGCATCTTTCTTACCTTGTCCATTTTCCGGGCTCGAGATCTTCCTTCCGGAGCCATGTCAGAAGGAGTGGACTTGATTGATATATATGCTGACGAGGAGTTCAATCAGGTGAGGGGTCATCGGGAACATTGGTATTTTCCTGTACCAGCTGAGGAATCACTTGCACCAAACTTGCAGTGGTTCCAGGCTGTGTCAGTCCATGAAGATTTTATAGGCCTAAACACCCCTCTGTCAGATCTAAAATTTTCCCTCTAGCACAGACTTCCAAGATTTCTGACCGTTCTGCTTTACGTTAACTTAAGCCTCCAGGCTTGATTTTAAAAGCTTTGATTTAAGAGTAAATAAAAATTAGGTTTAATAGAGTGATGAATCAACCTGCGGAACTTGCTCCCCCAGGAAGCCAGAGTTGGATGTCAGTCTCTTCGAAGACTAACCAAAATTAAAAATCAGAATTAGGTTTGCTATAGTATTCATGAGGATGATGTTGATACCTGTTCCTTTGAGATTCTCTCAAACTGCCCCTGGAGAAATGCAGTCTCCTCCCCCATAGGGCAGTGAGAGGCACAGTATAAAAGATAGCTTTAACGTTTAATTTCAGCTGCATTCCAGTTGTTTTCTGTCTTCCTTCCTTTCAGAAGTAGCTTGACTCCAGGCTTGAGAAGTAAATTTTATTGATGGATCTACTTGTTTGGTGGGGGGAGGTAAAGGTGTTGGACAAACCCGTTACGAAGCAGATACAGACCCAGCCACATGCTCTAAGTTGGATTTGTTGGTCTCTATATGATATGTCAAGAAATACGATACAGTAATCTCCTTTGAAACAATAATTTCATATACAGTTCAGTTCTGAGCTCTTGAGGTCAAATCTCAAGAGTGTCCCAAAATCTCTATTTAAAACTTACTAATATCTTGCCTGGATTATTTTCAGCACTGTTCTACTTCAGTAAGCTGGTTCTTCCTGTTGGCATCTTTTAATGGCTACATGTAAGGACCTGGAAAGAGGATAAAAAAAACAGGCTAGGGAAGGAAGGGGTTCTGATTGGACCCTGGCTTTGATATGAAGCAACAGAAGAGGTTGATATATGCCATTTCTTTCACTTGACATAAGTTAGTCATTTTCCCATGTCTTCTCAGGCAAACTGAAGTCATGTACATGTGGCTGTTGATTAACTTAAATACATGAAGATTTTTCTTTAAATTTCAAACAAGTCATAATTATTTCTGGATGAGAAGAAAGGTTTAGAATATTTAGTTACAAACCATTGTTTTCCTGAGTTTTTCATATTACTTTGAATCAGACTTAACTACTTTTTACTTTTTTTTTTAGTACTAGATAGCAAGAAAACAAGGCTCCCTTAGTTGTTTTCAATTATTCATTTTAAAAACTTCTTTTCCCCTAATTTCCTTATCTGTGGGTTGGTAACAGTGCTGCTGATTCGCTTTGGGAAATGGGTAGAACAGGGTCCTTGACCGCAGGGACATTTGGTCTGAGAAATGAGATTCCGTAATTTCTTAAGCAATGCAGCTTGTAGGTCACAGACAAGACATAGGCCTCATCCAATGGTCACTGCTTTGTCAAGGTAGAAGTCATTGGCCTCAACAATTTGTTCTCTGGTCTCTTTAGTTAAACAGGACTTTTTTATGGGTCTAAGGTAGGCCAAAGATGGTGTGTGAAATCAAGTAGACATTTATATCAAATGGACAGTATTTGATACTTAGTAAGTTGAAAAAAGTATAGATTTTGAATGTCTTATGTCTGGGGGAAGGTCAGGGGAGGGGTGCTTTTTTCCCCACAAGTAAGTTAATTTTTAGCAAAGCTGGTTTTAGTATGTTCTGGAGGCGCTAAAGAAGTGGTAAAAGCTCTGTTTGGCTAGGATTGTTAGAAGCAAGCTTAGACTGAAGGCAGCGAGTACACATTGTGTTTTAGAATGTTATAAGAATGTTATTGATTCACCCCAAGCTTACCCATGCACAAGAACCTTGTCACGTGTACTTTGCTCCCCAGGGAAAATAAGCACTGTTCCTAGATGGAACCCTATCGTGCTGACTCCTGGATCTCTTAAAACATGTGCTACAAAAGCCTCTTTTGCAGAGCTCCTTCACTCCTTTTACAGTTGGAATCTTAGGGTTCACAGCCGCTCTCTTAGGCTGGGGAGAACAACTAGAAAAGAGACTGAGAGCTGCCATCCTGCTGAGTGTTTTGTCTCTGTTCTGTTCCTTATGCAAAGACAGGCACTTTGCACAATATGCTTAGTTTTCCTCATTTTTATCAACAAGTATTTATTGAGCTACTTCTGTTTGCTAGGCACTGTGTTAGAAGTAGTGAGATAAAAGGAAAAAATGGACTTCTTTTACTCAAAAGAGGTTCTATTCCTGGTGGTTGAGAGCAGTGGACAGTGATGGAAGGAGAGTGTGAGGTGAGAACTGTGGAAATAGTAATTATAAAGCCAAAAACTGAGCTTTGGTTATAGTTAAAAGAAAATTATATCAAATGGGTTGCTTTGAGAAAAATAAATCCTAAGCTTTATTATTCCCCTTAGATATCAGGAAAAGGGCTGGCAGGTAGGAACATTGAGCAGATAGGTGGGGAAGTTCTCATTTAAATTCATAATCATGCAAGTTCTCTTTTGTAAACCAAGAGGCTTCATGAGACAACCACAGTTATTCCTATGCTGTTAAATGCAAAATTGTCCCTGGTATTAATTCAGTATTAAATACATACTTCTTTTTTAACCTCCCTGAAATGAATCCCTCCACATCAATGCCTGTAAAACATTGTATTTTTCACTTAATTTGTAGACTTAGATTTTTCTTTAACTGCATAAAACACCAGCTCATTTGGTAATCTGAAAGACCTCAGGCCCTATCTGTTTTTCTGTCTTAGCAACTGAAGAGTAAAGTGAACTGATGTTGCTAGCAGATTTAAATCCAAACACAACTTGATACATTGTTTCTTCAATAAAATCTTCAACAGAATCCTCAACAGGTCTGCCTGTGCATCGGAATAGTTCCCACAAACTTCTTTGAACTGAGGCTCTGTGGCACAGAGAGACCATTTGAATCTTGTGACAATTTTGCGTTCATTGAATCCTTTTGTGTTTCTTAAAGTGGTAAGGTAATCCATCCACCAGGGTCTTCCAGGATTGAGTCTGTCATATTCTCTAAGGAACCCTGAAAGAGTAGATTGTTTGCCGAGGCTTACAGTATGGGGGATTTCCTGGTGATATGTTTGATGACTGAGCTGCCCGAGTCTGCATGTTCTTTACCCAATTATCAGCAATAATTTTTGTATTACAACTTTTAGACACACATCTCTAAATCACAGATACTACACGGAAGGAATTCCAGTTTGGTTCCACTGACCATCCAAGATGGTGTGTTTCCTTATTCCCTTTTAGTTCCATTTCACAATCCCTGATTTATTTTAAAAAAAAAAAAGGCATCCTGGTTTGAAGTGTGAAGTAGTGTTGTCTAAGGATTAGAGCACTGGAGAAGATTGAGTGGTTTCTAAGTCCTTTCTCTACCTTGAACCACAAGGGTAAATCATACCTAGTACATGAATAAATAAATAAGTGGTTTGGGGCTTCCCTGGTGGCGCAGTGGTTGAGAGTCCGCCTGCTGATGCAGGGGACACGGGTTCGTGCCCTGGTCCGGGAAGATCCCACATGCCGCGAAGCGGCTGGGCCCGTGAGCCATGGCCGCTGAGCCTGCGCGTCTGGAGCCTGTGCTCCGCAACGGGAGAGGCCACAACAGTGAGAGGCCCGCGTACCGCAAAAAACAAACTAACAAAAATAAGTGGTTTGTCTAGAGTTAGGATTGTTTGAGATGTAAGGCTGTGAAATATTTTACACATAAAATGTTGAGTTATTAGCCGCAGCTTTCTTCACCTTTTTAATTTATTATCCACCCTGTGCTCTCCAATGTTAGCTTCTCCCCGTTCTTCACATACGCATCCTTTTTTATGCAAGGTCCTTATTTATAGGTTTGACTACCTAAAATAGTTTTCCTGTGCTTATTTGCCTCACTGATTCCTTTTCTTGCTTTTAAGTTGCCCCTAAAAAGTTTACTCCCTTTTGCCATTCTCTTTGCGAGATTTTTACAAGCTTCAAACTCCTCTCCTGTGGGGCTTGTTAAGAGTGTTTGTAATACTTGAAGCTATTTACATGCCTCAGGAAGTAGAATCCTTTCCCCCTCAATACCAGAACAATCCAATAGTATTATCATGGTGTGCATGTTCTTCCCTTGTACTTCAGATAAACTGAGAAACTAAAAGATTGTTTCCAAAAGTTGCTAATGGTATGTAGGTCTAAGAATGCATTTTGTAGTTAGTCTCTTCTCTAGTCGAAGTTCAGGATCAGCAGTTCTTGTGATGGTATTGAAGGGAGAAAGTTACTGGAGCTTCCTGTCCTGAGTTGCATTAGGGGAAATGATTCTCCTTCAGGCAATTAAACAAGTTACTTAATACAGGTTCTTTTATTCCCTTAGTATAGGTTCTTTCTTTATTCCTGTTTTTAAAAGACAGCAATGACATGAATGAGCTATAGTTTCCCTAAGACACTCCGAATGTCTCCGAGTTATAGTTTCCCTAAAACACTCCGAACGTCTCCCTGTACTCTCATTTTGGCAGTATCCTCTTTAGCACTGTTTGGATGTTTTAGAATGTTACCTGAAAATATACTTGTCTGATCCTTAAAATAAAAAGATCCTCTCTGAGATAATGACATTGCAAAATCTGAAACATTAAGGTCCCTTAGTAGTAGTTCTTTTGATTTTAGGAATTTTTATATAAGTGTTAGCTTGGGCTGCTGCAACAAAATAGCAAAGACTGGGTGGCTTATAAACAAATGTATTTCTCACAGTTCTAGAGGCTGGAAAACTGAGATCAGGTTCATGTTCTGGTGATCAGCCTCTCTCAGTTGCAGACTGCCAACTTGTATCCTCACATCATGCAGAGCACAGCAGAGCAAGCAAGCTCTCTTGATTCTTATAAGGGCACTAATCCCTTTCATGGGCTCTACCCTCAAGACCTCATCTCATCTTAATTACCTCCTGAAGGCCCTACCTCCTAATACCATCACATTGGGGAGTAGGGTTTCAGTGTATGTAGGGGGGAATCAAACATTCAGTCCATAACAGTAATATCACATAGGCAAAAAGTATATTTTGCCTATCTTGCAGAATTCACGTTCATATTTGAAAGCTTACTATAACACAGCTTATGATATCGGTGCTTGTCCTGTTTCCTGACCTTTATATATATATATATATTTTTTTTTTATTTTTATTTATTTATTTTTGGCTGTATTGGGTCTTCATTTCTGTGCAAGGGCTTTCTCTAGTTGCGGCAAGCGGGGGCCACTCTTTATCGCGGTGCACGGGCCTCTCACTGTCGCGGCCTCTCTTGTTTCAGAGCACAGGCTCCGGACGCACAGGCTTAGCGGCCATGGCTCACGGGCCCAGCCGCTCTGCGGCATGTGGGATCTTCCCAGACCAGGGCTCGAACCCATGTCCCCTGCATTGGCAGGCAGACTCTCAACCACTGCGCCACCAGGGAAGCCCCTGACCTTTATATTTTAGAGAACTTAACTGTTTTTGTGTATCATTGGACATCTCTGGTATTGCTCAAAGATGTCTCATAAATGTCATGGTAATGTATTGGATCTGCATGTCATTTGAGAAATAGAACTTATAATGGAAAATCCCCCCATTATTCACTTCCCTTTTATTTTTTATATTTCTTTGATGGTTAATGGAAAGATGGGATTATGTACTATGAGTTTTAGAGCTTCTCTAAGTCATTTGTGTAAGTCAAAGAGTTTAAACCAATAACTCCCATTCTTTTTTGTGTTTTGGTTCCCACTTTAACATGCTTTTCCCCCGATTTACATTTCTAAATAAATATACTCCCTTTCCTCCCTCCCTCCCTTCCTCCTTCCCTCCCTCCCTCCCTCCCTCCCTTCCTCCCTTCCTTCCATTTTTGGCTGCATTGGGTCTTTGTTGCTGCGCATGGGCTTTCTCTTGTTGCAGGAGCAGAGGCTACTCTTCGTTGCGGTGCGCGGGCTTCTCATTGCGGCGGTTTCTCTTGTTGCGGAGCACGGGCTCTAGGCGAGCAGGCTTCAGTAGTTGTGGCTCAAAGGCTCTAGAGCACAGGCTCAGTAGTTGTGGCACACGGGCTTGCCACCAGGGAAGCCCTACTCTATTTCTTATTAAGTAGAAGAGTAAGTTTTGTTTAACTCTTGATTTTGGAAATAGCATAAGATGTTGAAAACAAATTTTCATTAGTGTATCTTAGATGTGGTCTTGAGAAGCTGGCCACATTGATAGCAGTAGCAGATGCATCTCTGTGCATTCTTAGTTTGCTTGTTTAATCGTCATGTACCTTTTGAGTCTCACAGTGATTAAAGCTAGAAACACTATAGACTGCTAACAGGGTCTTAGGAGAAACACCTACATACATAAGTATAATTAAGTGTTAAAATTGTTTTACATGGGGAAGTTTTTCTTCCTAGTTTCCTAGAGTAGGACAAGGAAGTTTTGTATGTTTTATAAAATATTTGACCGTGGATTGTAAGTAAATTAGAGTAAAATAGAATGGACAAAACGAAAGGTTTTCAAACCCACCTTTGCCAACCCCTCGTCTCTTAGGACCCAGAGTTCAACAATACAGATCAGATTGACCTGTACGATGACGTGTTGACAGCCACCTCACAGCCCTCAGATGACAGAAGCAGCAGCACTGAGCCGCCACCTCCTGTTCGCCAGGAGCCATCTCCCAAGCCCAATAACAAGACCCCTGCAATTCTCTACACCTACAGTGGCCTGCGTAATAGGCGAGCTGCTGTCTATGTGGGCAGTTTCTCCTGGGTGAGCATGGGTAACCAAAAAGGCTTGTGGATGGGCTGGAGGGAGAGCACTGGGAGGTGATGGCATTTTCAGAAACCACTGTTGCACTGTTTTGTGCTCTGATGGGGTTGGATTTCTTTTTCCTGGGATCAGGTTGGATTGATCTCTGAAAGAGAACTATCCTGAGGACGTACTGGTGCCGAAGAAAGCAATGATTAAGTGGGTAGTTGCTTTTTCTGCCATCTTGTTACCGCCCCTGACCCTGGGGCTTTTATGTCTACCAGGGTCATCTGTGGGATGAGATTTCAGAGTGAACACCTTGAACTCTTGGTGGTCATTAGATGGTCCTATGATAATGATGGGTGAGAGGGAGCAAAGACCTTGATAGCTGTAGTACGCTCGGGGTAGGTGGTGATTGTTGTTCTGCAAAAGTTATTGTGTGACATGTTTGGGGGCTGGTGCTGGGAGGTGGTGTTTTCAAATTAAGAAATGTATATACTGAGGGGAAAGTTGCTGTCAGTGATCAACTCTAGCCTATCAGATCTATAACTAAAAGCTGCTAGTAATCACCGTTTGAGCTGATGACGAGCCAGCCCAAGTGGCAGTCAAAGTTAAAATAGGTTTTAATTTTCTTAGTCTCAAAGACGGGGATTGGGGCAGGGGTGGGTGGTTTTGGAATTCTGCATGGGTGAGGACAATAGGAAAAACGTGCTCTAATTGAAATATTGATGGCCTTCTGGGTTTCCTGTGGGCGGTCATGATTGTGACTAGAATCCTAGGTTTGAGGGAAGGGTTTGGGACATTCTGGGGGAGGGGGGTGTAGCTCCTGACATTTCTTCCTTTTCCATTTTGCCGGCCCCAGTGGACCACAGACCAGCAGCTGATCCAGGTTATTCGCTCTGTAGGAGTCTATGATGTGGTGGAGTTGAAATTTGCAGAGAATCGAGCAAATGGCCAGTCCAAAGGGTGAGGTCTGGATTTGAGAAGCCCCTTTTCGTTTGTAACCATTGGGATGACAGATCTGTACTGTTATTTTGGCCCTGTAATTTAATCCCTCCCACCCCTGGCCCAGTTTACTGCCTTGGTTTTAACAAACCACCTTAGAATGGGGACCTAGCTGCAATGTAGGAGAACATCCATCCATTGAGAGGCAAAGAAAGCTGATTTCTAATTTGAAATAAATAGGAAAATTTTAGCATGACACCTGTTTGTTTTTAGTAGTTTTGTGTGTTTAATATTAGAAAGATAATGGGACTTCCTTGGCAGTCCAGTGGTTAAGACTTCGCCTTCCAATGCAGGCGGTGTGGGTTCAATCCCTGGTCTGGGAGCTAAGATCCCACATGCCTCAGGGCCATGCATGAAACAGAAGCAATATTGTAAAAATTCAATAAAGACTTTAAAAATGGTCCACATCAAAAAAATCTTAAAAAAAAATATTAGCAAGCTATCCTTGGCTTTACCAGTTTTCACTAAAAGTGGAAGAGAATTTCTGTGTTCCTGTCTTGGTTGTCTAGTAGATTTCACTCGTTTTTAATTTTTCTTCCTCAAGGTATGCTGAGGTGGTGGTAGCCTCTGAAAACTCTGTCCACAAGTTGTTGGAACTTCTGCCAGGAAAAGTTCTTAATGGAGAAAAAGTGGATGTGAGGCCGGCCACCCGCCAGAACCTGTCACAGTTTGAGGCACAGGCTCGGAAACGTGAGTGCGTCCGAGTCCCAAGAGGGGGTACGTGGAGACCATCTGTATGAAGGGGGGGAAGTTTGTGGGTTTGTTTTCTGTGGTGTAGGCTTGGCCTACGATGTGGAAGAGTTTGAGAGAGGGTGGTGGTGATTATGGGTGACAGCATGGCAGTAGGTAAGCCAAAAAATGAGGCTCATGTGCTAGGAGTCAGGTAGGTTCAGGTTATGGCTCAGTTTTGCCACTAATTCATTATGTGACCTTGGGCAGGTCACTTTACTGCTTAGGGCCTACTTCCCCATTTGAAATAGACACATGACATATAAAGTTCCTGTCAAGTCTAAATTATGTGTTTCTATCTAAAAAATCAAGTGTATAGCAAATGGGCTTAATTATAAGACATGTGTCTATAAATTATTAAGAAGCAACCACCATAAAATATAAATATGATACATAAAGATGGCTGTAATCTTGTCGTAAACATACACTGGAAGGGTGTTCTGTAAGGAATCGACCAAGAGGAGTGCTGGAGAGTAAGAATTTAACAGTGTTTCTCCAGCATTGACCAGGGGGGTTGGGTACCCTTTCTGTTACCTGCGATTTTAGTTTGCTTGGCAAGTGTTTCCCATTAGTAAAGAACGTTGCATCATGCTACCTTAGCCTGATGATAGTATGCCTTAAGCTCACCTTATTCCCTTTATTCTGACCCTGTGCTCACCAAGACACCTTCTGATACTAATTTGGTTTCCCAACTAGGCTCTCCTACTGGGAAGAGAATGCGCTGACCAGCCGACACAAGTATTCCAGTCTGCTTGGCAGTTATATTTCTCATTGTAAATTAATAAATTGTCATTCTGGTTTATGAATCAGTCTCTTGTGAGTTTGGATAGTGTGAATCAATCTCCTAGGGTCCAGTCATCCCTGGGTGAACTGTTAAAATCAAGTTTCTGAACCTGCGAAACCTGGGGACCAACCTTGGATTGTCCTGACTTCAGAAGGTGCAGCCACCCTGCAAGGCCCTGCCTGAAACAGTCAACTGCCATTACTTTCCTTTTACTACAGTGGGGGTATGGCAAAGTTTTCGTTACCCACTTTCTGTCACTGCTTAGGTCCTGCTCTCAAAATAGTGCCTTGTATTTATTGATTGGGTAGTCCACTGGGACCTTGGATAGGGACTCTTGCGTAGGAACAACTATGTTCTTATAACTATATTGAGAGCCTAGATGGAAGTGGTGTGAGCTATTGCTCTGGGTTAGAAGGCACATACTTTTCTTCCTTGATAACCTGAATTTTCAAAGTCCATTGTGTTTCAGAGTCTTTCTATGATTCACGCCTCTTCTAGCTTTCTTAAGATGTATAATTTTACAGCTGCATTGAGCACCTAACAGTCCTGGCACCACCTGGCTGTTTACTCCTTGATGTTACCTTTCTTTGCTGAAGTGATGGTGCTGACTGAGTGGTGTTTTTCTGCGCTGTCATGTTGATGGACTTGGGCTCTGTTAATTCACTAAGTATAGCTGGTTGACTTAGTCTGCTTAACAATGGTTGCTACTCTTGGGATTTGTGGCCATAGATACAAAAAGAACCCTTGCTAGTGTGGGAACGGTAGCTGGGAAGGTAGCTAACTTTCAGAGGATTACACTTGCTAATTCCTCTTCTTTCTTCAGCTTGAGAGAACTCAGGGAAATAGCACGTTGTCATGTGTGTGAGACATGAAAAGCAAGAGAATGCTGTGGTAGGCACTGGTGATAAACTATGTTAGAGGAACCAAGGTGGTTGCCAAGGGGATTAATTCCACCTTGTGCTTTCATCAGGAGTTAGTGTTTACTAACAAGTTTTTGTTTAAGGAGCACTCTTCTTTCTCTCCACACTTGTCTCCTAATGGCATCTTTCTACCTCCAAAACTCCCAAGACCATGTGATCACATTATTCTGTTGGATTCCACATTAACCAGGCTTAGAGTAGACTGTTAAATTGGAAAGAGGGAACAAGTTTAACCAAGTGACTTGACGGTGTCAGAGCCATGTTTCCAGCTGTATACAAACATGTTTTGAGCCCCTGTTTTGCACAACACCATACCACCGTTCCATGATGATGTTCCTAGTAGGCTGCCCTGTGGGGTAGAGGGTTTGGGCCATTGAAATGTAGGGGGAGTTTCCCAGGTTTCAGGCATATTTTGTACCAGGCTTTTGCTAGGAGTCCCTGGTGTCAGCTGTGTGCCATCTGCTCATTCTGTGGGCAGATCTTTCCTTGGCTTGTCTCCCGTGTTTTCTCATTTAACCTCCAGTCTTCTACTCTCTGTTCTGTGGCTCTTCCCCGTCCCAGTTACCAGCTTGGGTACTTGGATGGAGGAAGTGTTATCCATCCCCTGCCCTTCCCTCCCTTCCCCCAAATTCCCTGGCCAAAGAGCCATGGCAAAGAGAAAATTTCAAGTATATAGCAGGATAAAGAAGGTTAACTATTACTAGTCTAAGGAAAGAGTCCCTGAACAACTACCAGAGAAAATGGGATTTCGAAACAGCTTGAATCCAGCTGACCAGTAATGAACATACTTCAGCACTGTCATTTTCTCATGGGTTATTAGGATCCTTCTGCATTTAAAAATAGAAAGCAAATCTAAGGGTAACTTAAATGTGAAGCACTGAGAGTTCTAGATAAAGAGCATTCTTTAACATACAGAATTTAGGGTGGTTTTGCTTCCTGGGTTTATGTCTTAACTAGGTTGCCTCTGAGCTTTCTCTCTGAGGCCAGAGAAAAACAGTAGGTGATTTTACCTTCTTTCTCAGCTACCTGTCACCTTCCTTAGTATGGTGTCAGATGACTTGGTGAAGGATGACCTGGTCCCGTGGATATGTTTAAAGGTTGGACAGTAACAGTAATTCTGTTTTGCTTCATAGGAATACCTCCACGGGCCCACTCCCGAGATTCTAGTGATTCTGCTGATGGACGGGCCACACCCTCTGAGAACCTTGTACCCTCATCTGCCCGTGTGGATAAGCCCCCCAGTGTGCTGCCCTACTTCAATCGCCCTCCTTCAGCCCTTCCCCTGATGGGTCTGCCCCCACCCCCAATTCCACCCCCACCACCTCTCTCCTCAAGCTTTGGGGTCCCTCCTCCTCCTCCTGGCATCCACTACCAGCATCTCATGCCCCCTCCTCCTCGATTACCTCCTCATCTGACTGTACCTCCCCCTGGGGCCATCCCACCTGCCCTTCACCTCAATCCAGCCTTCTTCCCCCCACCAAATGCCACAGTGGGGCCTCCACCAGATACTTACATGAAGGCCTCGGCACCCTACAACCACCATGGCAGGTAAGGACCATCTTGTTGCTTTCAGATCTGAGCCCGGCACAGTGGGGTAGACAGTGTTCTAAGCATTTTGCCCCCCTGAGGAAGTGAGCGAGCGCTGGGTTTTTGTGTTTTCCCTCGTGGGGACTGTTGCCGTAGTATTGAGTCCTGGGAAACAGTTAACTATTAGAGAATGTTTTTGTTTGGTATTTTGTTTGCGTCCTACCTCTCAACCCAAACCATGTCCTTCGTATCCCTTTTTAAGGCAGTTGATTAAATGGAGTGCTATAAGTCACTGTTAGGAATGCTATGAGTGTCGAGCACTGTCGGGTCATGCCAGAATTACAAAAGTATATGACATAAATCCCGTCTTTGAAGAGAACATGAACATATAAAACATGTGAACAGGCTGAGAACCATTTAAGACATTATACAGGAGAGCACAGTTAAATAGCATAGTACTCTAGAGTATGGTAAAGTTAACAAGGGGTGTGGGCAGTCAGGCGTGGTATTATTTCTGTGTGCAGCCGAGATTCGGGCCCTCCGCCCTCTACAGTGAGTGAAGCAGAATTTGAAGAGATCATGAAGCGGAACAGAGCAATTTCCAGCAGTGCCATTTCCAAAGCTGTATCTGGAGCCAGTGCAGGTAACTCATCCTTACCGTTGCTGCCTTCTCCTTACCTTTAGTTTTTCCATTGTTTTGTCATTTCCATTGGCAAGAAATTCAACAAGATAAAGTTGGAGCACTCGTAGATTCGCAAGAGTGGCACATTTTGAAAAGCAATATGGTAACCTGGTTTCCTGGCTTTTGGGGAGCTCCACTGGTGCTGTTTGTTTAGCCTGTGTCTAGACCTGCCCCATGAAAACCAACTTAGTGCCTAGACTATAAATAACTAATACTCATTGTGGTGTTTGTTATAGAATGAACTTCCTGCCTCACGGAGACCTTGACCTCAGTGGCTGATCAGTGGATCTTGTGTCTATGTAATGAGTCCAATGCCAAGTGTAGACCTTGGGTTTTCCGAACTGATCATGGTGGTGGACATGGAATCTGATTACATTTGGGGATCGAGGCAGAGCTGGTGGCCTCCATGTAACCTATCCTAGAAAGAGACAAGTCTGTTGGGTGTCAGTCTTAAGGCATAATAATACCCTTACAACTAATTTTTGCCTTGCTGTCAGTATTAAGTTGGCAGAACCAGAAGCCATGCCTTTGAGAGCCAGGGGAACAGAACCTTTGGTTCCTAAGAGAAGAGAATATAGGAAGTTTCCGGGTTCTGGTCCAAGTTTCGCATTATAGCACTAATCATGTTCACTTTCTTCCTGCGAGTTTCCTACACGAATGTAAATATAGATTGTCAGATCTCCTAAGAAATAAGTTAACTCTATTATCATCCATTTTCCATAATTTCTCATCTTTGACTACAAAATTTGAATGCAGAGTGGACTAAAGACAGAAAGTATGTATATTTTCTCTCTCTCTTTTTTTCCACCAGAAACCTTCATGACATCTGAGTAAATCTCTTTAAATTAGAAAATAAACTATGCTCATTGTAGCAAGTCAGATATACAGAGTATAAAGAAAAACAATCATTGTTCTTCACCAGTTCCTTCACACTGAGATGATCAATAACTGAACCTCTGTCTCCTCCCTTTGTTTTGTTCTCATTCCAGTCATTCAAACCACAAATATTTATTGAATTCCTACAAAATAGGCAAAAATTCCCTACTCTGGTAGAGCCAAAATCCTGGTGTTCTTAGATCTCCACAGAATTGCAGGTCCTTCACAGCCTCTGTTCTGTTCTTCACTGCCTCGCACAGGGGGAGCTGCTAGTCCACTGTCACTGGACCCCTGCCTGGTTTCATGCTTTCCTTGTATTATCTTGTCCTTAATGCTAAGAAAGCTTTAGTTTGCAAAAGCATTGTGCAAGTACCCACCCTGACCACTCTCCTTGAGTCCAAACATTGCTCAGATGTGAGGAATGAAGGAGCTAGTTCTTGATGGCAGCATAATTAAAAATATGTGTGTGTGCATATAATATATATATATATATATATGCACACACAACACGCATGTCTTAGGTATATGTTACTTGTATGTATATATGTATTTGGTTATAGATTTAAAATAATTCAGACAGAAATATGCAGTGTTAATAAATGAAAGGCTTCTGTACGAGGACCATCAGTAAGACCACCTTGTACAATTTAGTGTCTATCCTTCAGATTTTTTTTCTGTGCATGTAGCAAAATATATATGTAATTTTGATGGAATATCGTTTCACAGCTTTTTAAAAATACATTCTGGACATCTGTTACATCAACTAATACCTAACGTTTATTGAGCCCTTACTGTGTGCCTGGCACTGTGCTAAGTGCTTTACATGGATTGCTTTGTTTACATACAGATTTACCTCATGCTTTTTAATGACTATGTAGTATTCTGTAGAACCAATGTTCCATAATTTATATAGCCAGACCCTACTGAAGGAACTTTAAGTTGTTTTTGATTCTTTAATACAACAAACAACGCTGAAACAAACACTGTTTAAATTATATACTTGTGAACAGAAGTAGAAAATTTTTAGACGTGCTGGGTCAAAAAGTATGCACATTGTTTATTTTAATGGATGCTGTCTCATAACCTGCAGACAATGACGTGCCGGATTATACATCCACTAGCAGTGTCTGAGAGCATCTGTCTGATTCCAGACCACTAGAATATAGGTGCCATACAGTTTTATACCTGCCACTTCTGCCTCATCCATTTTACTGTGGTTCTGTGGGACAGCTTTTTACTCTTGGTTTGTGTCCTCCTGAGTTCTCCTTTTCATCAGTTAGTTTACTGCCTCTGCTCATCCTTGGCCTTTCCCATCCATCCCCTGTCAGGGGATTACAGCGACGCGATTGAGACGCTGCTCACAGCCATTGCTGTTATCAAACAGTCCCGGGTCGCCAATGATGAGCGTTGCCGTGTCCTCATCTCCTCCCTTAAGGACTGTCTTCATGGCATTGAAGCCAAGTCTTACAGTGTGGGTGCCAGCGGGAGCTCATCCAGGTGAGTTGATGATTGCTTCAGCAGCCTGCCAGCCCTGAGCAGCACTCTTCCAGGGACTGGCAGGGGGAGGAAAGGAGCCCAGGGTATCTGGCAAGGACCTAGTTGAAAGAGCAGACCTAGCCCTCATGTCTTTAAGGGAAAAAAACTAATCAAACGTTTACATTAACAAATGTTGTAATGTCTGAAATCTGTGTTTGGTGAGGCAGTGGGCTTATTTAGGAGGAAAGACTGACGTAGTTCAGAACATGGGCTTTGGAGCCACACATTCTTGAATTTGAATCTCAGTCCTGCTCCTAACTACCTGCATGACCTTGAATATGGAAGTTACTCAACTTTCCAAGCCTCATTTTTCTTATTTTTAAAAAGGGGACAATGGTAGTACTTACCTTACAGACCTGTTGTAAAGATTAGGTGAGATAATGCATGTAAAGCTCTCAGCACTGTGCCTGATACGTTAGTAAGATCTCAACAAGTTTGTTATTAATTTTCCAAAAAAGACTAGGGGCCATGATAGAGTAACAGAAGAGTGGTTTAGGCAAATAGTAGAAGACACCAAAACACAATACTCTTAGAAAGAATGGGGTAAGCCCTCTGAGTGAGGCTGAAAAGTATCCTTCTAATAGGAAAAGACATCGGTCCCGAGAGAGGTCACCAAGCCGGTCCCGGGAAAGCAGCAGGAGGCACCGGGACCTGCTTCATAATGAAGATCGGCATGATGATTATTTCCAAGAAAGGAACCGAGAGCACGAGAGACACCGGGATAGAGAACGGGACCGGCACCACTGAGAAAGGTGGGATGAAGCCTCATTGCTGGCTGGTTGATGATCTCTTATGAAAGAAAAATTATTGATAGTAAAGATTTCTCTCTCTCCTTTTAAAACAAGAAAAGGGTATGGGAAGACTTCCTATTTAGGTAACCAAAAATTCAGGAGGGCAGGTTTTCTGCTTGTTTGTGAGGAGTCGCACCCTGAAATGGACCTGAGATTAAGCTATTTTTGCTTGTTTTTTGACTGCTTTCACCTGGTATCTGAGACAACACGGCATAATGGCTAAGAACACAGTGTCTGCAGGTAGATGCCAGGTTATGAATTCCAGCTCCTCCAGCCATATTACTTTCTGTTCCTCAGTTTCCTCATTTGTAAGTGGAGATAATAAAAGCAACTGTCTCAGTGGATTGCTGAGTATTCAGTGAGCTAATCCATATAGAGCATTTAGCACTCATAGTACCTGTCACATAGTAAATTCTCAATAAATGATAGCTATTGTTATTATCATTGTTATGTTTTATTTATTATTTATTTACTTTCTTTTTGGTTGCGCCGTGTGGCCTGCGGGATCTTAGTTCCCTGACCAAGGATCGAACCCGTGCCCCGTGCATTGGGAGCACGGAGTCTTAACCACTGGACCGCCAGGGAAGTCCCTCATTGTTATACTTTAACCCCACCAAACTTTCAAATGAAAAAATCAGGAAAATTGACCAAGACAGAAAAAAGTAAGACCATTGCCTACTTGTAAGTTTTCAAGGTGCAACATTAATGATTTTTAAGAATTAATATGTATTAAAAAGATTTTGAAAATCAGGATACTTTAGTCAGAGAGGAGAAAGCTGATCTGAAAAAAATTATCTTTAAAGCTTTAGAGACTGGAGGATATTTCAATGGCAGGATATATTTGTTTTGGAAAAACTTACAGTGATTTTTTTTTTTTTTTTAAATAAAGCAAAACAAAGGCAGGAGAGTTAGGGGTGGGGAACAACATTAACTCAAGTAACTGAAAAGTTGAGTTAGGCTTGGCTGGTTCAGGGGCTTCAGCTCTGTTATTTTCATTCTCAGGCTCCAGGTTACATCCCACCAGCTTGGCAATCCAACTGAAAACAAGCTTCCGAAAAAGATTGTTTCTAGTATATAAGCAAGCAAGAGCAGTTGTTGACTCTGTTTCTTTGGAGATCTGTAAAAGTAGTCGAGACTCTGGCGGGGATGGTACGTTTGTGGTTCCTGAAGGCTATTGCATGACCCAGGTGACTTTGGGGTCTCTTCTCAATTTTGCGGCTTCACATCAAGTACATTAGGATAATGTCCTTGGTGTTTGGCTGATTTGGTTGGTCTGAAGTAATGGTAATTGTGGAAGGTGAGTAGGAATAGTTCTGCTTGGTATCTTTGGGGTGGATAGATGGATGACTGGATGCAGAAAGGAAAAGAAACCCTCCCCCCTTCTTGTGAGTGCCTGTAGTTCACAAGCGGTAGCTGGACTGTAAACGGCTGCCTAGTGACAACCTACTAAACAAATAAGAAAGGAGTCTTGTTATGTTTGGCTACTGCCCTCTACTTTGTTGTTTCTGCCATTAACTTAAGCGGAGTTTTAAACAGCTTTGGCCTAATTGAGTCTCAGGCAGTGGGCGGGAGGGTAGGTAGAGTGGGTCTGTGATCGATCTCATCCCTCCTGTAGCAGTAGCAGCATTTCCCTTGTTTGAGCTAGCACAGTTGCTATCGTTGCTTGTAGATTCAGTATCAGTCACCACCCTCCCCAGTCCTGCAGCCCACCGTGTGTGTCCTTTGGAGCTGACTAGGATAAGAGTGACGAAGGAGGTAGTACTTGGTCTGTGCAAAGCATGAATTATAGTCTCTGGGGCCACATAGGTTAGTAGTCGGAACGTGTAGCTGCATGTCACTGTTCTTGGCGGCTTTGCTCCTGACAGCCTTTTGATAGAAAAATTGTGAGATCCTCTGATCATTAGAACTTTGGGGATTGAACACCTGAACCTGAGACTTCAGCTGTCATCTTGCTTCATTTTTTTTCCACCTGTAAAGTGGGACTTTTCTTCCATTATGAGGATGATTCAATTTGAAAAACTGAAAAATCCTATAACCCAGTAGTTCCCAGAAAACAGTCATTTGGCTGGTGCAGGCCTATGACAAATGAGGAAAATTAACTCTTGAGGCAGGTTTTCCAGTTCCCCACTTTTCCTAGTCACCCCTTTAGGTACATTGGTTATTCCTTCTGGTTAGTTAGTCCAAAAGAACTGAATTTGACCCCCCAAAAATGTCCATTTCTCACATTCTCATCCTGGGATTCTTAACTTCATCTGCAGGTACCAAGTTGTGACTTAGGAGATGTCATGTTGAGGAGATGGTGCCTGGGCCTCATTTACCTTGATAACTTTGCAAGCTCTGAGTACAATACCTTTTAGTTAGAAAATACTAGTATTTATACTATACGGAGAGCTGTTCCCTGAGAGCAAAGGGTATGTTCCATCTAGGGGCAGCAAAAAACAGCAGGCTTTTTTGTCCATCCTTCCTCAGGATGGGCATGACCTCTGGGACCTGAAGTCTGATTGACCCACTTTGTCCTCTGTCTGCATTCAAACATTACCACCAAAATGGAGCCATAACCTCTAAGAATTGGGTGCTGTTCAGTTGACCCTTGAGCAGTGTAGGGGTTAGGGGAGCTGACCTCTGCGTAGTCAAAAATTCGAGTATAACATTATAGTCAGCCCTCCATTTCTGCAGTTCTCCATCCACAGATTCAACCAACCTCAGATTCTGTTGTACTGTAGTATGTATTTATTGAAAAAAAATCCGCATATAAGTGAACCAGCGCAGTTCAAACCTGTATTTTTCAAGGGTCAACTGTAGTTTACTTCTGATGCATTAGTTATCCTCTGAGTCTTGTTTTGTAGCAACAGTTCCCAAATCACATCACTTTTGTGGTATATGTGTGCACGCTTTGGAGTTTGAGGATATTCTTAGGTCGTCTGTGGCTTCAAGTTTTTGTAGTTGTTGGCTGTTGTCTCATTATTTTAGGACATTATCCTGCTTGAAACATAGTAATTCTCACCTCATTGCTATCCTCCTGGTCCAGTGAAAACTGAGCATTCTGTTCAATTTTGATCTAATGCAAAGATTCGGAAACCCAAATTGTATGAAATTGAGGAGTCACTGAGGGCTTTAGTTTCCTCTTACAGAAAATGAGAAAGATACCTGCCTGCATAGATGTTTAGAGAAACCAGAGGCCATGACAGATTCTGAGGACCCCAGGGTGAAATGGTGCCATTTCAGAGTGTAGAAGGATCGGGCAGCTTATGGATGTAGTTTTTCTTGCAGAGCTCCTCCCGGTTTCAGAAGTGCATACATTAAAGGTGAGCATTTATGTATAGGCCATGTTGCCAGTTTGGGTGTTAGTAGAAATCCTAAGCCTGAATTTAATTCCCCCTTTTCCTTTTCGCTATCAGTTCTATTTCGTGTGGTAAGATTGACCAGGCCACCCCCTGCAGATGGATGTTACAATGTTGGAAAGAGGGCTGAGTGTACTGGGGACCTTAAGTTAGGTCGAGATGTGACAAGTGGCTTAACAGTCCTTCACTGCTCAGCAGAAGTTCTTAACCGTGCTTTTAGTTTTCTTGGATGGTGACTGCTGATTCTCTTCCTTGACCTCCGTGCTCTGCTTCTGCTCTGGCCTGACCACGTCACTCCTGCTCGGTGTTAGTATGCTTCTTGGCCCCTCACCCACACCTGTCATCTGGGGAGGACTTAGAATCTCTTGAGTGGTGGTACTTGGAACATCTCTGGCTCTATGTGTATGCTTCTTTAAAAGAAGGAAAAAAGTTTAGTTTTCTTGTGTAAGTACATGCTCCCTGCAAGGGCCTCTTGGGTATTTGGGGGTTAATGGATTTGGTTATGTACACACTTGTTTTCTTACCATTGTACTTCCCATTTCCAGATTTTTCCCCTTCCCCTTAAGGTAAGCTATGACTTGCTCAGAATAGATTTTCTGAAACAGTATTTAAACTCACCATGCTCCCTTAGAGCAACTTTTCTTGAAATGTAGTAGTTCCCAGCCAAAGTCTCCTTTTCAGTCAAACTGCTTTGATGCCTTATTTCATTGTCTATGTTTTTCCCCCTAACCTTAAAGTAAAATGTCACTCCTCTTTCCTCTGTTCTCCTCCATCCACTCCCTCACTACTCACAGTGCCAAACACTCCCAGACAGTTCTGCTGTCTTTTACTTTCCCAGGCTTGCATTCTGTCTGTCTGCATCCCCTACTTCATACGTTTTAACTTTTGAAAATGCCAGTATAATTTATATAAGCCCCTGTTAATCGGAAAGTAACCTCTAACTTGTATTTTCTTTCTTCTCTTCTGATGTTCTCATTGCAGGAGTCTGGTTGGAAGCAAATGTTTTTTTAATGGACTTGCATCTCCTCACCTTGATCAGGACTAAAGGACGGAGGCCGCTCCACCCCTTCCCCTTTCTCCAAGCCCCTAACCCCTTCCAGACACCCACAGGGAATACCCTCTGCCCTGCAAGATTGAAGATTGCCTGGCAGCCCTCCCAGTCCCACTCCTGTTTGCCAGGGTAAAGAACCTAAAGACTTCATGTGGTTGGGAGGGTGGCAGACAGGAAGAAACCATGTCCAGGTCCCTGGTCTCCATAGAGAACGGTGCTTTGTCCAAGGAAACGTATGAGTTTCTGATTCTCCAGGAGCAGTTCAGTGGTGAGGTTGATGGGAAGACATCCTTCCCAAAGGAAACGGATCCTCCCTGTGGGATCTAGGAGAGTGACTGGGTGTGCCAAAATATGCCCAGGGTCCTGCCCTCAGCACTAGGTTTGATGGGGCGAAGAGGGTCCAAACCCCTTGCTAACATACCACTTCTTTAACTCCTTTACCTGCCCAGCCCTTTGAGGAGGGACCATGAGAACAGAAATTACTTTATGGAAAGCTTCTCCTGTTCTTGCTTTTCCCTCTTACTCATTGACGGTTTGTTTCCCTGACCTCCCAGGGGGCTAAAACCCTTTCAACTCCCTGCTGCCCAGCCTGCTCAGTGGACTTGCCCCTCCTAAGCAGAGAAGGCCCATGAGGTTGCTTTCTGCTGGGGAGCCTGGCAGAGCCAGTTACCACCCTCTACTGCTTCTTGCTTGGTTCCGTTGCCTCTTGCAATAACCAGCTCCACTAGATGTTCCCTTTCCCTGGGGCTTTTCCATTTCACATGTGGAGCCCTTCCCCCAAGAAGGCTGCTTCCTTGTTTTAGAGGAAGGTACTGCCATTGGGAGTCGGGGACATCGGACCTCAGCAGTGAAGAACCCTTGTGAAATACTAGGAGTGGGGAAGGAGGCAAGTTGGGTGGGATATGGCCTACTTCCATAGGCTTTTCTTTTTTCAGGTTTGATGTGAGCATGGGCTTGCATCCTCCAGGTACATACTTTTACTTATTGTGGGATAACCCGGCACTAGTAGGTAAAGTCACAAATTTGGTATTTTTTCACCTTTTGAATTTTGACTTAATAGCTCCCCTCGCTCTGCCTGGAGGTACTTGCTGCCTCTGATAAGGAGCAAGGAAGAAGTGGAGCCTGACTTTAATGAGCTCAGCTCAGAATTCTAAGGACCGCTCTGGGGGCCATATTCTACACAGGCAAATGGAATTGCTTTTCCCGTAACATCCACATTGTGAGGCGGCTGCTGCTGGAAGAAGCAGCAGCCACAGGGTCCTGCGGTACCCACGGGGCGGCAGATGCTACTTCCGCATGCGTCTGTAGGGCACGCGACATCGAACAGGAAACGTGGCACGTGGGGTGTAGGGTCGCTGGAGACCCTTCTGGCTCAGAGGGGAGAGACTGAGCTGGACGGAAGCCTTCCTCTGTTCCTTGCACGTTTCTGACATAGCCCTCGCTCAGTCACTGAGGGAGTCCCCCAGGGTTGGAGAGGCACATTCCCTTGGGACAGAGGCTACAGGTTTGTAGCTTTTTTCCCCCTGTCCCCCAACCCCATCCCCACCTCCACTTCAGAATATGGCACCCTGCCCAGCCGGCCAAGCGTTAAGTGATGTGCTTATCCTCAAGAGCAGCTCCGGGTGTCTTTTTAATGTAGAGAAAACCAAGTAAGGTGACAGTTTAAGGAGAAAAAAATACATAGAATACCAGAAAAGCCGTTTACCCGGAGAATTTTTTTCTCCCCATTTTTGTTTTGTTTTTACTTGGTGACACAATTTTTAGTTTTATTTCCTGATAGCAAAAGGAAAAAAACCCAACCCTCAAAAAGGCCAAGGCCCCGTCCCCCTGTTGTTGGTGATTTGTTTGTCTTTCTGATAGGTTGAAAATTGTGTAATAAACTTGATGACACTGTCAATCTTTTATACTGCATTGTATTTTTTTTCCTTTTGTAACAAAATATTTTTAAATAATAAATGGGGTGTGAGCTGTTTCACGGATTCTGCATTGAATAGATTTGTTGAGGTGTCTGGGACACGGGTGTGGGCTGATGTAGAGGCTTTGGGAGGGGAGTGAATCCCTGAGTTCTCAGCTGGAATTGCACGGTGGGCATGTGTAGTGCGTGTGGTGCACCTCCTAGGAGACCTCGTGCGAGCCTTTGGAGGTGCCCCTTGAGGTTTAGCTTTTTTCCTTAACCATCTAAACAGCCTAGTTAATTCCAAGTCATCTTTTATCCTTCAAGGTTCCTAAGATTTATTCTCAGAATAAATGTCCTACCTTGTACAGTTCAGTTCCGATGTCATCAAGTTCATAAAGGGAAGAGTCCTCTGCTAGGCGTTAGAAGACATGCTGGCTAGTGCCTCCTTCACATCTAAATCTGTCTAACCACGGAGGAGCAGCACAACCTCAGTCTCTTTCGTTTGTAAGATGAAAATGATAGCTGTTCTGCCTTCCACATTGGGAGGTCTGAAGAACCATAACAAATGTGAACGTGTTACGTAGACTGCGGTGCTATCTAAATATAAGGGAAGTACAGATTAGAAAGCTTAGCAAAGTGCTGCGGGGTAATCCTTGGGATTCCTGAAAGGCTTTTTAAAAAGTCGGGCGAACAAGAGGAGAGTTAGCATAATAAAAAGATGAACCAGCAACCAGAGGACATATAATGTGTTGCTGAGGCCAGTAAAGGCAAGAGCAGTATCAAAGCAAGAAACCCTTAGTAGAAGGGAAATTCCTTGAGGGTCTATGTTGTTATAAAACTTGAAGGAAAAAAAATAGTTGGAATGCCTCTCAGAACTTAAACCAGGGTTCTCAAGTTGAGTTCCACGGTTGCCTGCATTTCAGTTATGCGCCATGCTTGCTAAAATGCCTTCCTGGCCGCATCAGTCTCTGGAGTCTAGAATCTACGTTTTATGCTCCAGGTGACTTACATAAACTAAAGCATGAGGACTGCTAGTTTAGAGAAGCAAGTGCCTTCTTCAGTTTCTCCTAGGGGTTACCATGGCAGTATAGGAAGGGAATGACCTTTGGGTCACCTCTGTGTTCCTGAGTGCTTCCTGAAATGAGCCAGACCTCAGCCCCTAGAGACCACCACTGCAGTCACCTGACTAGGCATGTCAGGTGTGACGTGTCAGTTCTAGGCATGAGTGTGGATATCCTAGCAGGCCTCTGCCAGCTCCTGTGACCAGGGCCTGCCCCTTGGCCCAGCCCACTCACTGTCCCAGGACGTTAGTCCTTCAGGTGTGTATGGGGTATAGTGGCTCCCTTGACCCTACAGTGAGTACAGCCTCTGACACGTTAACCCTGAAAGACCAGCTCTGCTGGTGCCCATCGCCCACTGCCTCAGCTTCTGTTGTATGATGTTCCACTCTGGTGTGACTAACCGCATCCACACAGCTGGCCCCAACAAGCATCAAGAAGAATGAGCATTTATGGGACTTCCCTGGCGGTCCAGTGGTTAAGACTCCGCGCTTCCACTGCAGGGGGCACAGGTTCAATCCCTGGTCAGGAACCAAGATCCTGCAAGCTGCACGGCGCGGCCAAAAAAATAACAAAAATAAGAAGAATGAGCATCTATGGAGCCACGTCTGGGAAACACAACACGCAAAGCTTCCAGATACCCATGAAGAAAATGTGAAGACTTCCTGTTCTAAGTCCCATTTTCAATCATTCATTCTTATACTCACGTGGTACCTGTTCAGGAATGGAATTTACTTGATCCAGATTGAGACACGTAAGACAACGTTTCTAACAAATTAGTAACCAGTTGTATGATGCTTGGCTATGTTACTTCCTCATCTTTAAACCTGCCAAGCTGGGGATGAGATTAGGTTGATCTCTAAAGCCCCTTTGAATTATAAGCCACCTCTAAACTTTCAACTGAGCCTCCCATTCATTTTTCTGTGTTGCTGGGAGGGGAACCTTAACCAGTGAAACTCTAAATGAAATAGAGAGGCCACGGAGAATGAGTTCTCCAGTTTGATGCCAGCGATTTCTTCAAAGCAGGGCTAGACAAACAAGCAGTGTGAGAAGCAGCAGAAAATTAAGGTATTAGTGGGATATGTGATTGAAATGTCAGGGAAGTTCCTATTGGGTTTTTTGTTACTGTTTCATGCTTAATCAGACCTATTAATAGTCTTTGGATGGACCCCAAAGGCAGCTCTTAGGCAAGGACACGGAGGGTTAGGAAATAAGAAAAAGCATCAGTGCTTTGGAAAGTGGAGACCTACATAGGATGAGAATGAGCCTGATCACACGAAATAAGCAGTTAAAAACCAGCATGACATTCTTAAAGGCCAATTACTTTTTACTCTGAGGAAGAGCAGATATTCTAGGGTTCACCTGATAGCAGATGGGCCATATGGCTCAGGGTTTCCTAAAGTGGCTTCTTTGATGGCTTCTTGGGGCTGAAGAAATGGCTATCATGCAAGATGAGAAATAGTTTTAAAGACGGTTACTTCGAGAAGGGAATGATTCACTCATTTAGGGCAACACGCCTCCAGCTTAAAGAATAAAAATAGGAACTTCCCTGGTGGCGCAGTGGTTGGGAGTCCGCCTGCCGATGCAGGGGACGCGGGTTCGTGCCCCGGTCCCGGAGGATCCCACATGCCGCGGAGCGGCTGGGCCCGTGAGCCATGGCCGCTGAGCCTGCGCGTCCGGAGCCTGTCCCCCGCGCGGAGAAAGGCAAAAAATAAAAAGGACCGCAAAAAAAAAAAAAAAAAAAAAAAAAAAAAGTATGTGTTCCTTTTATATTAACTTGAAATTTCAAAACAAATGACCAAAAAATATTGGTAAGTTTAGAATATGTTTCTTCCAATTACTCATGCCTCACCCTGGAAAGATGACAATTATCTGTAAGAGGAATGAGAGACAAGATGCTGGCTTTGGGGCAGAGGTGAAGAATGTGAGCAGGCAGGATGACAGATCTGAAGAAGACACAGAAGCTGGCAGGGCCTTTAGGGATTAATTGAGGCTGGAGCTGTGGGAAGAAACTCAGTGGGACACCTTCATCACTGCCTCTGTGTCCACACTGAACCACCAAGCGCAGCCGAGAACAAACCGCTGGGATAGTCTCTACCTTCTCTTAAAGTGGAAGAAATTCTAGGGACGGGTGCCGTGAGGAAAAGGCTACTACAACCTCCGCCACAGAAAATACATCTTTATTATAAAATAATGTTTTGTTTCATGATGAGAGTAGAAAAATAACACTATGAGCTCCAGAGAAAGTTCTGGAGCTCAGTCTCTGAGAAATGGGATGAGCGGCTTTTGCATCACTCTGGGAGCACACCCTCCTGAGGTGCCCCGTGCTCCTGCAGGACGTGGGGCGCAGCACACACAGGGAGTGTGCAGCTCAGGTCCTGCTGGAAGCCCAAGGAGCCTACACGGTCCACACAAGATGCTTTGGCCATGATGATCGAAGAGGAAAACTTGAGGTCAGAAGGGAATTAATTGGTTCTGAGAAGGGCCAGGATGGCGACAGCCTTGCCCCTCCCTATACTGGAGTGTAGAAGAGTCTCTTGGGCTGATGATCCTGGTTTAGAAGATGGTGCCCAGTGGGCTTATGCTTGGTTTGTTCCCCAAGGAGTCTGTGCTGAGGAAAAGCTGCAACCTTTCCCAGGACAACTTGACCCACCGTCTCTCACTGGTGCGGCTAAAGTACCAGAGGTGTGTGTGGTCTCAGCCTGTGAGGGCTGCTGGCTGAGATTTTTGTGCTTCAAATCCTGTCCATACCGATGGCAGAAAGAAAGAAACAAACAAAATGTTAAAAGACCAGTGAGTAAGAGCCGCTGGCTGGAGCTGTTCTATATTCCAAGCCTCTCGGCCCCAAAGAACAAGGAGAATGTCTACCCTAAGTGGGAAAGGCAGTCCCACAGACAACCCTATTTGCCCTTAAAAATCTTCTAGACCCCTCAGGCTTTAGACAAACAACGAATCCCCACCCCACCCCCGGGATGGGAATCCAACCCTCAGGTGGTAGGAAACGGTCCCTCGGCAGCAGTACCTGGAGAAGGCAGCCAGGGTGAGCACCTCAAGCAGCAGCTCTGAGCCACAGAAGAAGAGCAAGATGCCGTTCATGATGGCTTCCAGGCGGAGCACGTAGGTCTGCAGCAGCAGGTAATAGGAGGCCATCATGGCAGATGGGAAGGTCAAGGCCATGCTAATACCAAGCGGCATCTTTCGTTGGCAGAGGTTTCCCTTTGTACCTGTCAGACACAGCCCATGGAATCACCTCCAAGTGGCCTGCCTTCCCTGGCCTCAGAGGAAAGGCGGGCAGGATGGGATGGACTGGCAAGCAGAGGAAAATGCTCCTGAATGGGGATGTGCAGGTTTATAAATGTGGTCCCACTGTGTTAAAAACTAGAGGCTTGGGCTTCCCTGGTGGCGCAGTGGTTGAGAGTCCGCCTGCCGATGCAGGGCACACGGGTTCGTGCCCCGGTCCGGGAGGATCCCACGTGCCGCGGAGCGGCTGGGCCCGTGAGCCATGGCCGCTGAGCCTGTGCTCCGCAACGGGAGAGGCCACAACAGTGAGAGGCCTGCATACCGCAAAACAAACAAACAAACAACAACAAAAAAAGTAGAGGCTTTGGAGCAGCTATAGGATTGCAGTCATTCACCGAAAGGTCCTGCTTCCATTCTGGCTCCCAGTCAAGGGACAATGGGCTCTTTATTTGAGGAAAAATTTTGTAAATCATAAAAATAATATATAATCATTGAAAACTTTTCAGTTAATATAGAAAATACAGAGTTCCCTGGCAGTCCAGTGGTTAAGACTCCAGGCTTCCACTGCAGGGAGCATGGGTTTGATCCCTGGTTGGGGAACTAAGATCCCACATGCCGTACGGGGCAGCCAAAAAATAGAAAAAAATATATAAAAAATAATTTTAGAAAATATAGAAACTAAAAGACCACATGACTCAGCCCTTAGAGATAGCCATTATTACAGAATGATGTATACTGTTTCAGACTTTTTTATGTGTATGGTCACATATTACTATTTATTATT